TTGACAGTTGTTTGAGTAATGCTTAGCGTTGAATGGCGTTTCAGTATGCGAAAATTCATTTAAGTGGCGTTTGAGTGCAACTTAATTTGAGAGGTGCTTAAAAATTGAGAACTGCTCAGATATTGTTTTGAGTATGCGAAATGTAAGTTTAGGAGCTGCTTAACTATTTGAGAAGCCGTCAAATATTTAAATGGCGTTTCAGTATTCGGCCGTAATTTTACTAACGTTATACCATAAAATCTAATTTTTATGTATAATATTTGGGCAATAATTAGAAGTATTTTCCCCAACAGCCAGACAGTTTTGACAGTTCCAGCTCCTTGCCAGACAGTTTTTTTAGGGTAGCTCCCAAAGTCACGATGACCCAAACTTCATAATTCACCAAAATTATATCCTATATTGGGAGCATACGCTGACAAACTTTCAGCTTTTATTTATTTATTTTATTTATTTGGAATAACAACAGCCGACACATATAATAGACTTAAATCAAATATTTTTCTTAAACTAATTAGGCCAAAAAGGTTATCCACAGCATTAACGACGTAAAATGACGTAGGTCTGGCGTTCACAGCTCTTCGTCTATATAACCCGATTGAGCTAACTGCGCATCTCGCTGGAATGCGACTCTCCCTCGCACTCACCCGCAAACCTCCCGCTTTCGCCCTGTCCCTACCAAAGCGGCGATGTGACGTCACGGCCGCCAAGTGCGCAGTCACAGAATAAGTAATAGTATAGGTACAGAAGGATTACTCCGCAAGACGATTTAAATAAATGCGAGTCTTGCTACGACGCGATACAGTGGAATTCAGCTCGCACAGCACTACGTACCTACAATTTTATTCACCTACAAGTTTTGTCTCTTTCCATCGCGTGCCTCTGAACTCTTCTTACGCTGTTAGGGTTGCTGTCTAGTAGTGTCTTGTAAAAAAATAATTATAGCCTGACCAGGAACATAAAAACCCTGGCATAGAGGCGCGTCAATTGCATTTGATAGTGCAACACTGAGTACAGTCGTACACGTGTTAAATTAATAGGCTAAAGCGCCACATAAGCCAGTCCTGGGTTTCGAAAGTTTTAAGACGCTTTCGGGAGACTGGTGGCTTTATCCCGAGACCAAGTTCTGAACAGCGCCGGCGCACATCGCAGAGGGAAGACCGTTTTTTCATGTCAACCTCTCTATGAAATCGTCATTTGACTGGAATCGACGTCCAGTAAGAGCTCAGAAATGTTCGTAGGATAGCTGTTAGCGAGTAGACAGTTTGTCTAAGACATAAGCAATAGAATTTAACTCCAAAAAGGCCTGCCACAGGCTCGAAACTGACGGCAGGTCACCGATAAGCACGCTTTCAATTTGCTCGTACACATCTCGATGTTAAGTCGAGCAAGCCACCCCCATAAGCCACTGTTTCAGCGAACCAGCACTGCACAAATCGCTCCTCAGGCCGCCTATAAACCCGACCTCTTCGACTGCTGCCCTGCAAACACAGTTTGCATTCATCGGAGAACAGAACTCGCCTCCATTACTCGCCTTCCCATCGAGATGTGTACGAGCAAATTGAAAGGGTCCTTATCGGTGACCTGCCGTCAGTTTCGAGCCTGTGGCAGGCCTTTTTGGAGTCAAATTCTATTGCTTATATCTTAGACGAACTGACCACTCGCTAACAGCTATCTTACGAACATTTCTGAGCTCTTGATGGACATCGATTTCAGTCAAATGACGATTTCATAGAGAGGTTGACATGAAAAAACGGTCTTCCCTCTGCGATGTGCGCCGGCGCTGTTCAGAACTTGGTCTCGGGATAAAGCCACTAGTCTCCCAAAAGCGTCTTGAAACTTTCGAAACCCAGGACTGGCTTATGTGGCGCTGACGTGCGACAGCCCGCTGGCTGAGCCTTTCTTGCAATAGTGCAACGATTTGTGCTGCTTCTGAAGGTGTAGAATCCCAGGTAAAGTGTCAAAAGAAGCGGAGATGTGTATGAATCAACGTGTGAAAGCAAAAATCTAAAAACGCGTGCTTTTATAGGGGCTAAATAGGCCGCAACTCGCAACGTATCAAACAGTTCATACATGTCTTTTTCGTTACTTCTTCACATCAGCCGGGATATCTTTTTAAATACTGGTGTGATTTAAATGACTTTGGTATCAATTTAAAGATAAAAGTTTAATCTTTAAAATGGTGCCACTTTTTTTGTTACTAACAAATTCGTTAGTACACAAGTTCGCGTGGAAACAACTTCATGTAAGTGATTCCATAGTTTTGCTCGCGAGTGTACTTATTTGTAATGAGGTACGTATGTAGGTAAGTACGCATTGATTATGAAAAACCTTGGGAGAGGCCTTTGTCCAGCAGTGGACGTCATTTTTGGCTGAAACGAACGCATTCTGAGCAGTAGTCATGGTAGGTTAGGTTCCTATACTATCCTAAGAATTATTGATTACCTACATGGCCAACATACCTTTCAACATCTTTGGGAAGCGAAAAAAAAAGATAAATCCGGTAGATTTCTTTTCGAATTTAAACACCCGAACGCCGCACAATATTTCTTTATCTTTATGTCCATTTTTAAATAATACTTCGATCATAGAATTAGGTACGCGCACGCCAGCGTCCTGACGGGCGCGCGCGTGACACTCGACTGATATAATACCCGCCGGCGGGGCGCTTCGCTGTAGGTAATTATCGGATGTACCGCGCGGAATGAGCCAGGCCTGGCGCAGTTAACTAGATAGCGTTGTAATAATTGATGATTTTTCGAATATTTCACTATCAAATACAAAAATGTTCGTAGCACGCGTACATTATTATAGGATAGTGAAAGAAAATACAAACAAAAAGAGCTTTCCCATACTTTGATTGCCAATTTTGAATGCGAAGGAAAATTTTTTCACGATTTGCCCTTTGCTTTGTAGATCCTTCATTCGTTGATTAAAAAATAGTGGTGTATAACATAATATTTACATTTTTGTAACATTCCTACAATATTTTTACAGGAAACGTAACACAGTATTTGTACCTCTATAACATTTGTTACTTGCACATTTTTGGGCTGTGTTTCTTTAATGATAATATGTAGGTATTATTAATAATTTCTTATTCATATTATTTCATTTTCTAAGCCACTGAAGCGCCACAAAAATCACAGCTGTTCCCGATTTTAATAAACATAATTATTTTCAAATACTCGTACAGTCAGCGTCAAATAGTTCGTGACACCCAAAGTGGCCAAAAAGTTGTCAACACAACCTTATTCCAATTGTAACAAAGACGTGTTGCGAACTTTTTGGCTACTTTGGGTGTCACGAACTATTTGACGCTGCCTAAATGTATGACGCCGATTCCTTTCTGATACGTCATGACACAAAACGCCAAACAAATATAAATCCACCTTAATGGAAATATACAAATGTACACCCTGTATTTTTGTCTCGGCCGCGCGGGGTGCGGGGAGTTTGGTCCGAGCAATCCGAGCGTCATTATTGTAGTGTGCGTGTGCACTCATGGATAATTTAGCGTGTACCGATAACACTCAAACATTAGCGGAAGAATGGTGGGGCGCGTCTTCGTGGATGAAACTATCTTTAGAGTACGTTAGAATATACACTCGCGAGCAAAAGTATGGAATCACTTACATGAAGTTGTTTCCACGCGATCTTGTGTACTAACGAATTTGTTAGTATCAAAAAAAGTGACACCATTTTAAAGACTAAACTTTTAACTTTAAATTGATACCAAATTCATTTAAATCACATCAGTATTTAAAAAGATATCCATGCTGATGTAAAGAAGTAAGGAAAATGACATGAATCAACTGTTTGATACGTCGCGAGTTGCGGCCTATTTAGGGGGCGTCCATAAATTACGTGAGACTTTTAGGGGGGGGAGGGGGTCAACGAAAACCTCACTAAATCTCACGTGGGGGAGAGGGGGGGTCTCGGAAAATATCACGTAATTTTTCCCGCAAGAAATAGAGTAAAATTTCCAGAAAACTGGGTTATTAAAGTAAAAAAATGATTTTTTTTATGATGATAATGACAATTTATCCTAAACCGTCTAATCAAATTAAACTAAAAATGCCTCCATCTGATTTGTGAACACTAAAGATGCAGAATAAATGTCGAAATTAAGAAAATTCGAAATTAAAAAAAAAACGTCATCGGCATCGCTATTGCGTAAAAAATTGGCCAAGTGCGTGTCGTGCCACGCGCAGTGTAGGGTTCCGTAGTTGTCTGTCGTTATCACAATATATTTCAGAAGCAAGCAATTACTTCATCTAAAGTCACTTTTCATATTTTCTTCTAAGGATTTTTTACTGGTTAAGAAATTGTATAACACATGAGTCAAATGACTATTACTCTTAAACTAAGTAATGTATCTTAACCGTTATGGTTTTCCTTGAAAAAATTCATCCCCACTTTACATGCAGGGGAGCTACACTAGAATTTTTTTTTTCAAAATTTTATTTTGCCGTTTTGTCGGCGTGATTAATACATATACCTTCACAAAATTACAGATCCCCAGTGCCAATAGTTTCCAAGCGAAACCTCGGACAGACAGACATATCGAAACTATAAGGGTTCCTTGTCAGGACTACGGAACCCTAAAAAATGACATTACATACGTATGAAAATATTATGTATTCGTAGTTAAAGTAACCAATAGTCAAATTTGACAGATGTCAAATGACAAGTGGTTAAATAACAGAAAAAAATGTGTTTATAACAATGTTTAACTTGACTTTTAGTAATTTTTTTAACTATTAGTTTACTTACATTTTATTAATATTTAACCATTAGTAGCAAAATTTAACAATTAGTTATTTTAACTATGAATCAAAAAACTGGTCCTAGGTTGAAGCAATTGCTTGTCTTACTAAACGACGGGAAGCTACGGAACCCTGCACTGCGCATGGCACGACACTGGGTTACTGATTTTTTCATATAAATCTAATAGACTCGAAGCATAGACATTGCAAAATAGGCATTTTATTAAATATCACGTGAGATTAGGGGGGTGGGGGAGGGGGTCTGGCAAAATCTCACCAAATCTCACCAAGGGGGGCGGGGGGGTTGAAAAATGGCCAAAATTGTCTCACGTAATTTATGGACGCCCCCTTACCCCTATGAAAGCACGTGTATTCGGATTATTGCTTTCACACGTTGATCCATACACATCTCGGCTTCTTTTGACACTTTACCTGGGACTCTACATCTTCAGAAGCAGCACAAATCGTTGCACTATTGCAAGAAGGGCTCAGCCAGCGGGCTGTCGCATGTCAGCTCCACATGAGCTAGTCTTGGGTTTCTAAAGTTTTAAGACGCTTTCAGGAGACTGGTGGCTTTATTCCGAGACCAAGTTCTGAACAGCGCCGGTGCACATCGCAGAAGGATGACCGTTTTTTCATGTCAAACTCTCTATGAAATCGTTATTTGACTGATATCGACGTCCAGCAAGAGCTCAGAAATGTTCGTAGGATAGTTGTTAGCGAGTGGACAGTTCGTCTAAGATATGAGCAATATAATTTGACTCCAAAAAGGTCTGCCACGGGCTCGAAACTGACGGCAAGTCACCGACTAGCACGCTTTCAATTAGCTCGCACTTATTTTGATGGGAAGGCGAGTAATGGAGGAGAGTTTTGTTCTCCAATGAATGCAGACTGTGTTTGCAGTGCAGCAGACGAAGAGGTCGGGTCTATAGGCGGCCTGGGGAGCGATTTGTGCAGTGCTGGTTCGCTGAAACAGTGGCTAATGAGGGTGGCTTGCTCGACTTCCCATCGAGATGTGTACGAGCAAATTGAAAGCGTGCTTATCGATGACCTGCCGTCAGTTTCGAGCCTGTGGCAGGCCTTTTTGGAGTCAAATTCTATGGCTTATATCTTAGACGAACTGTCCACTCGCTAACAGCTATCTTACGAACATTTCTGAGCTCTTGCTGGACGTTGATACCAGTCAAATGACGATTTCATAGAGAGGTTGACATGAAAAAACGGTCATCCCTCTGCGATGTGCACGGCGCTGTTCAGAACTTGGTCTCGGGACAAAGCCACCAGTCTCCCGAAAGCGTCTTAAAACTTTCGAAACCCAGGACTGGCTTATGTGGAGCTGACGTGCGACAGCCCGCTGGCTGAGCCCTTCTTGCAATAGTGCAACGATTTGTGCTGCTTCTGAAGGTGTTGATTCCCAGGTAAAGTGTCAAAAGAAGCGGAGATTTGTATGGATCAACGTGTGAAAGCAAAAATCCGAAAACACGTGCTTTTATAGGGGGTAAATAGGCCGCACCTCGCGACGTATCAAACAGTTGATACATGTCTTTTTCCTTACTTCTTCACATCAGCCGGGATATCTTTTTAAATACTGGTGTGATTTAAATGAATTTGGTATCAATTTAAAGTTAAAAGTTTAGTCTTTAAAATGGTGTCACTTTTTTTGTTACTAACAAATTCGTTAGTACACAAGATGGCGTGGAAACAACTTCATGTAAGTGATTCCATAGTTTTGCTCGCGAGTGTAGTATAGTCTCAAGTTTGAATCACTTGTCTCTACCTAGTAGGGCAGAGCGTCGTCCATTTGCACAGTCATCAGGGAATCTTCTGGCAGTATCTCCAGCATCGCTTCAGTACCGTCGTTGAAGGGAAACGACACGCTGCCGTCTACCACTAGCCCTGGGAAAATAAAAGGAACAAAAATCAATAGGGTAGAATAGATACAAAAATATTTTGTAGGTTAGCGACGGTTTGGACATGTCCAATTTTTTTAAACTATCGGAAAGACTTAAGAAAAATACGAAGAGATTCTAAAATACCAGCAAAATCGATTGCGATTGTCAACTGACAATGATTCTGTGGGCTGAGCGTGAGTATAGTTCCAAAATACTGAACTGTCCTATGCATAACATTGACAGCGGGGCGCCACCGTCAATACCGGATCGCTGGTTCCGATTTTTGCCATGTTGGAAACCATATAGTTGAACGATAGTAGCGCCCCCCTGTCATTGAGTTTGGTGGGACAGTTCAGTTTAGGTCATCCATATTCCATACAAAATGTATGACGTGATTGGCAACTGACAACGATCTCAATCGACGATACGCCACCTGGCGGAATAAATTCGCAGTATTTGACGTACTTTTTGTGAGCTATCGAAACGCGAATCTGTCATAGATTTCGTAATGTAATACAAGCAATGACGTCACGCAAATTAAAAAATAAAAATGTAAAGTTGATTTGAATACTTGTGAGTTTTTAAGACCAGAATAGTGTGTTCGTATAATGTATTTGACCTTTAGCATTATCGGCAAAAGCTGAACGTGATGTCACATGACACATGCCTATAGTAGTTTATATTGAACTTGCTTGTTGTTCTAACATTTCTTATAATTAATGATTTGATAATGCTAAGGCTACTAAAATGTCAGTAATAAAAAAACCTTGCATATGATAAGTTACACCTTTACAGCTAGCATACTATTAAAGGTCAAACAAATGTGTATTTGGAGTGACTTACCAGCGTCAGTGCAGTGTGACTTGACCTTGACAGAGGTCGCTTTGTCCCTCACTCGTAGACCCCTAGGCGCGGGCCAGTCTTCAAATGTTATGTACTCTCGCACGCTATAAGCTAGCTGCTCTGAATCTACAAAAAAATGAATTATTAAAAAATATCTCCATGGGAACCATCATGTTATAGACAAATTATGTAATGACTAGCGCCCGCCCGCTACTTCGTACCCTCTCAGGGGTGGAGTTTCGTAACATCCGCTCTTAGTGAGCACCTACGTTCTAAAAGGAACCCCCATGCAAAATTTGAGACTCCTAGCACTTGTAGTTTCTGAGATTTCGTGATGAGTGAGTAAATCAGTCAATCAGTGACCTTTCGCTTTTATAAATATAGATTGTAATGATGGGCTATAATACTATCGATAAAATCGATGAAGTATCGATGATTCGGCACCACTACGTACGAATACACCAATTAATATTTCATTCCCAACTGCGAGTCTATTCGTAAAGTTAAAGTCCGGTCGCCGCACAGATAGAATGTCGTCCGATGACCCCAAGCAACCCATCCTTATCACTCGCACACACAGACACACATAGTGTGCGAGCGCAACAGCAATATAATTATTGCCTATGGTAGCTTGGGGTCATTGGACGAAATTTTATCTGCTCGGCGACCGGACTTTAGGAGTTCTGGTAAATTAGAAAGGGTCGTGCTCCTGTAGTGGAGACAACAATTTGATGATGATAATGATGCTCGTGATAATGATAATTAATTATGCTAATGATGACGGATATAAATACAATCGATAATATTGTTCAACCATGAGGTCGGGTGCCGTCAATGAAACACCGTATAGTTTGTAGAAGTAAATTATAATGCTTGCTGTCACAGAGCAAATACGTCAAAACTCTGGGGGTACTTACATAAAGTACAGAAAAATTAAAACCACGAACTAAAGTATTATCAGAGCCATCTATTGCTACCAAAACATAACTTAAACATAATTGTCAAAACTCAAAATAAAAACTAAACCAACCAAGAACTAACAAGTAGATTCTATACAAATATCGAAATCGATACTTCAATTGATTGATGATTTCCGATTTAATGTATTTATTTTGTAGTGTTGTCGAAGTATCGATAGTTTTGCCATCGATATTTTAAATACGAACCTGGCGCGAACATGAGTTTCTGGTTGTATCTCTCGGTGACTTCTCGCGCTCTCTCGAGACTTGTGTCCAGCTTGACCTGGTAATCTTCTGAGAGGATCTTCATCAGCTCCAGAACGGAGTGAGTGCGGAGGCAGTTTATACTGCAACAGAACATATTCAGGATTTTAACCAAATGCCGAAATACATTTAAACTGCTAGACAAAGCCCTCCCCCAAGGATTTCCACGACCGGTCCTGCGTTTCCCGCATCCAGTACCTCTAGCATGAACAACTTTCGACTTCGAATCGTTTGCGTATTCGACAAAATTCGATACTCAACCTTGGAATGAAACGATAACGTGACAATTTTGATTCTCAAAATAAGTTTCGTTCAACCATTTCTCACACTAAGTTCACTTTACGACACGTTCACAAGGGCGCTGTTGTAGTTTTCGTACTAAATCTTTTGATGGCGATTCGAGTACGCAAACGATTCGAACTCGAAAGTTTTTCGTGCTAGCCATACAGGTGCTTACCGCGACATCCACCAGATCATCGGTCCACCTAGTGGGAGGCCTGCCTACGTTACGTCTGGCCCGTGGTCGCCACTCGAGAACTTTTCTGCCCCAGCGGCCATCGTCTCTACGAGTTATGTGCCCCGCCCACTGCCACTTGATTTTAGCAATGCTGCGAGCTATGTCGGTCACTTTAGTTCTCCTGCGGATCTCCTCATTTCTGATTTGATCGCGCAGGGAAACTCCGAGCATAGCACGCTCTATCGCTCTTTGGGTGACCTTGAGCCTTCTTAATCTTTCTATAGTCTGGTCTGTGAGTACGTAGAATTTTGTCCAATGACCCCAAACTACCCATCCTTATTGCACGCGCGTAGTTATGTTGCTGTCGCGCTCGCACACTCACTGCGGGCGCCCGTCGCACAGTCGCGACAGCAATATAATTACGCGCGAGCGATAAGGATGGGTAGCTTGGGGTCATTGGACAAAATTCTACGTGCTCACGGACCAGGCTTTAAATAAAAATATTTTCTTTCTTTATTTCTTTCTGATGATGATGATGATGATTATGAAACATATCTCACCTGAAATGCCACGAAGTGCTTCCAGTGCCGGTGGTAACACAAAGACCTGAGCTTTTGGTGTGAGTCCACTTGCCGTTGTCGATTTGAAGTCGGAGGAGCGACACTCGCGACGTCACGCTCTCTCCTATGAACACCTGGTAAGAGAGAGAGAGAGATGGTGTTTGGTTCGATGTTTTTGTATCATACTCTTAGAAGACTTATGCCCGTTTTCACCATCAATCCCTAATTTTTAAGTGACCCCTATGAAAACAAAATTCCTGTTATATGTTACCATAGGGGTCATTTAAAAATTAGGGATTGATTGTGAAAACGGGCATTAGAACACGAGTGTAATTATTTACTTTCAATGGATTTAGATGTATTATTATAAGATACAAAGTTGAAAATTTATTGATAACGCCTTTGTACAATAGGTTGATGTGAATGAAAACTTCTAATTCGTAATAACTACATACAGTTTTATTTTATTTTAACAATTTCATACACCTCTAACTTAAGGTTAAAACAGTGATAAATAAACAACATAATTAATTATACCAAATCTAGGTCAAATCCACAATTTCTTTATACATGTACAGATGTATTTTTTATGAAAAATAAAAAAGTCACTTGTAAAGAAAAGCAAACTAACAAAAATAATAAAAAATAACTACCAAATTAACTATTACATTACTTATTTGTTGTATCCTGATTTCTACGATGAATACCTGTGCGAAAATGGATCTTTTAGGCCCAGAACAGACGGTGAAACGCAACTGCAACGAAACTGCAACTTTCCGATGATTCTGATGAATGAAACTGAAACTGAAAGTTTCAAAATGGTTGTTCTCAACCAACGCTATGGCAGAAACTTTGATGCAACTCAAAAGTAACTAGCAGTTGCAGTTTCGTCGCAGTTGCGTTTCACCGTCTGTTCTGGGCCTTACTCAAGGCTTTTCAAAAAATCTACCGATTTTGTTTCAGCCTAAACATGTCTAGGTACTTTTGGACAAAAGCCCAAGGATTCCCTTCAGTTTTACGAGCTGTGTGTGCAAGTATAGGTAACTGACCACCCTGTCATCATCATCTCAGCCATAGGACGTCCACTGCTAAACATAGGCCTCCCCCAATGCTTTCCATGTTGCCCGGTTGGTAGCGGCCTGCGTCCAGCGCCTTCCTGCTACTTTTATGATGTCGTCGGTCCACTTTGTGGGTGGACGCCCCACGCTGCGTTTTCCGGTACGCGGCCTTCACTCCAGAACCTTGCTGCCCCATCGGCCGTCAGTACTGCGTACTATGTGCCCTGCCCATCGCCACTTCAGCTTGCTAATCCGTAATTACAATAAAACTATCACACTAATATTATAAAGGCGTATGTTAGTGTGTGTTTGTTACTTCTAAACGGCTGGAGCGACTTTAGTAAAATTCGGTATGGAGTTAGCTGACACCTTGGATTAACACATAGGCTACGTTTTACCACGGGGCACAGCTAGTTTAATATATTTTCCAAACACTCACCTCATTGAGCGCCAAGAACGGCAGTACTTTAGTGGACAATGTGGTGCTTGGTTCGTCCGGCGCGAACTCTGTCCTGGAACGCGGGTCCGGGGAATCCGGGCCGTCGTGCAAGTGCGACACTGGGGGATACCTGGGGAATACGTTTATGTATGTTAAAACCCCTATTAAATAAAAAATCCGTCCAAATGCAAGTTAGACTCGCGCATCGAGGGTTAAAGTCTGTTCGCCGAGCACGTACAATTTCGTCCAATGACCCCAAGCTATCCATCCTTATCGCTTGCGTAATTATATTGCTGTCGCGCTCGCACGCTCACTGCGGGCGCCCGTCGTACAGTCGCGACAGCAATATAATTTATTGCTGTCGCGACTGATATTATACACTTGCCAAATGTTGGTCTCGAAGCGCTGGTAGGGTAAAAAGATTATGAGACATGTAGAGGCTCCTTAAGAGCATATGACGATTTGTAAGAACTATTTATTAGTCTAAACAAATAAAGAAATTTTGACTTTTGACTTTGACTTTATTTATTTAAAATAATTACGCGCGAGCAGTCCTGGATCTGTCAATAGGCCGTATTGGCCGCGGTCTAGGGGCGGCACATTTCAGATGACGCTTAATCGATTTCAGCAGATGAAAGTTGAATAAAGATCCAACCCCACCCTAGCCTACGGGCGGCAAAACTGTAAATCCGCCACTGCGCGCGAGCGATAAGGATGGGTAGCTTGGGGTCATTGGACGAAATTCTACGTTCTCAACGACCGGACTTTAGCAAAGAAAGTTTGAAAAACTGTAACCCGACTACAAAAAAAAACGATTCATTCGGCTCGCATAAGTGTGTGTTTTGCTCTTTATTCTCCCATTAGGCCACATCCCTACTTCTCTAATGATGACGACATAATATCACAAACCTGCAGAAGTGCAAAGTGTGCAGGTCCACCGGTGTGATCTTATCGAGTAACTTCTGTTCGCACGTGATCGTCGTGCGTATCCGCGAGCGACGCATCCATCTGAACCGGCCCTGTAAAGGAAGGAATAAACGACGATTTAGAAAAGAGCATTAAACGGGACAATTACCATAGCATGAGCACACCCATTAAGTGGACTGATAAATCTCATAAAGATATAGTCTGGTCTCTGAGCACGTAGAATTTCGTCCAATGACCCCAAGCGACCCATCCTTATCGCTCGCGCGTAATTATATTGCTGTCGCCACTGTGCGACGGGCGGCCGCAGTGAGTGTGCGAGCGCGACAGCAACATAATTACGCGCGAGCGATAAGGATGGGTAGCTTGGGGTCATTGGACAACAGTCAGTGCTCAGAGACTGGGCTTTAGTAGGAAGGCGCTGGATGCAGGCCGCTACCAACCGAGTGATGTGGAAATCATTGGGGGAGGCCTATGTTCAGCAGTGGATGTCCTGTGGCTGAAATGATGATGATGATAAACGGGAATCGGGAGTGGATGTCGTCATAAGCGACTAAGGGCTAATTTTATCATCATGGGATAACTTCTATCTGAATTAAACTTATAATTTTGTCATATTTTCCATACTGAAACTGCCAATCAGGCTTCTAAGATAAGGCTAAAAATATGGTGGGAACTATATTCCCACTACCTTATAAACGGTGAAAGCAACTAAAATAACTATTTACCTCCTTGTGAGCGTGTAGCGTAACCTTTAACATCGTTTGAACACCAGGTGTGAAGGCACAGTCTACCTACAAATATAGTGGGAACTATATTCCCACCACCAAATAAACGGTGAAAGCAACTAAAATAATCACTTACCTCCTTGAGAGCATATAGCGCACCCTTCACGTCGTTTGAACACCAGGTTAACAGGCACAATCTGCCTACAAATATGGTGGGAACTATATTCCCACTTCCTTATAAAGGGTTAAAACAACTGAAAAAGTAACATACCTCCTTGAGAGCGTGTAGCGCACCCTTAACGTCGTTTGAACACCATGTGGGAAGGCACAGTCTGCCTACAAATATGGTGGGAACTATATTTCCACCGCCAAATAAATGGTGAAAGCAACTAAAATAATCACTTACCTCCTTGAGAACGTGTAGCGCACCCTTAACGTCGTTTGAACACCAGGTGGGAAGGCACAATCTGCCTACAAATATGGTGGGAACTATATTCCCACCGCCAAATAGAAAGCAACTAAAATAGTCACTTACCTCCTTGAGAGCGTGTAGCGCACCCTTAACGTCGTTTGAACACCAGGTTAACAGGCACAATCTGCCTACAAATATGGTGGGAACTATACTCCCACTGCCTTATACAGGATTACACTAACTAAAACATTACATTACCTCCTTGAGAGCGTGTAGCGCACCCTTAACATCGTTTGAACACCAGGTGGGAAGGCACAGTCGGCCTACCGACTTATGAGGGGCGCTGTTGAATCCGATCACTGGTTTGCTGGAATAAAAAAAAAATCATAAAACTCATTTATTTAGGCAAATAGGCTTTTAAAAAGCACTTTTACACATCCCAGTATTAACCCTACCACTGCTTCAGGACAATAAATGGGCCAGTGCTGAGAAGAAGCAGCGCAAGAAACTCAGTCACTATTGTCAGCCTCCTTTTCAAGGGTTTACAGTCTTTAAAATATACAAATTATAGTCATAAGTATTGATGCGAGCTAAGTAGTTAAATATTCCACTTGTTTCCACTTATTCCACACTAGGTAGTGAAACAATTGACACTTTGGTTAATAAATAAATACAAGACACAAGTAATCGACATAACCTGCAGAATTTGATATTTGACACCATTCCCTAAACAATTCTAAAGCACGACTTTTTTAAATTCATTCTGGTCTTAAAAACTTAATTCATTTTTAAATTACCTGTAAATTAAGATTTTTGGTTGCATTGTAATTGAAAACGTAGTTTAATTGAGTTGACAAAATAATGACGTTGACAGTTTTAAAAATCATTTTCATTTATCATTTCAGGGTCATTATTTTCTCAGTCGCTAGTGGAACCTAACGTAAACACATGGTAAGCACACTGATCCGATGACGAGCACTTCCTCTGAGCACAAATTATTGGAAAATCAAATTGTGAATACAAACTTACTTATTTGAAAATTATAAATAACTTGAAAAAATCTAACTGCCTAAGGCGGGAATTGAACGCACGACCTTCCGCTTGCCGGGCGATTACTCTTCCAACTGAGCTACTTAGACACTGGATGAACCCGTCAAAATTTTCAAGTGTAATACGCTGTTACGGCCAGCGTTAGTTTCATCAATGTTTGGTATGTTTAAAGGTAACCTTTAAACAAGTTTTCAAGTTATTTATAATTTTCAAATTAGTTTGAGATGCGACTCTTAACGCTAAAAATTAAATAACTAAACTTACTTATTGTCTCTAACTCTAGAAGCTGCTAGAAGGAACGTCCCGTCACCCCCACACGGCACGACCACGTCACACCATTTGATCAAATCGTCGCTGTATGTCAGTCTGTAACGAAGATAATTATGAATTAATCTTAAAATAACGCCCGTTCCACCAGAGAAGAAAAGTATCATCCCCACTCTTCCCGTGGATGTCGTAAGAGGCGACTAAGGCCCAGAAAAGACGGTGAAACGCAACTGCAACGAAACTGCAACTGCTAGTTACTTTTGACTTGCATCTAAGTTTCTGCCATAGCGTCCGTCGAGAGACTGTTGACAGTTGCAGTTTCGTTGCAGTTGTATTTCACCGTCTGTTCTGGAAGAAAATGACGATGATGATAAATATAGTAAGTTTTTTATACATAATAAGGCAGGTATTTCACCGCATCTGATATTCAGTTAAGATGCAGTCTAGGATGATACGAATCAAAAGCCTATACACTTGCCTTGAAAAGGCCCAGATTATAGTGTTCGGGAAAGCCAGCAGCAGGCAACGAATTCCGGTCCCTAGCTGTTCACATTATAAGGGAGGTCGAACCTTAACTTCGAACTCTATAACTAAGTATAACGAACTATTATATAAGCATGTGTATAATATTGTCTAAAATGGTGTATGTCTTGTTGGTGTTAATAAATAAATAAATAAACTCCTCCTATGTTCTTCTAATTAATTTCGTTGCGGGTCCAATGACAGTTTAACTTCCCCCGGGACAAACTTGACCTTCACTGGTTGGGTTATTGGCGGTTAAGCTGAAGATCCTGGCTACAGGAGTTGCAGCGGTGGGAACGAGAGGTGGGAATAGTCCCGTTGTTCGCATTACAAAAGAGTCAGAGAAATTTCTATAGTCTGCTCAAATAATCTAGGACTCTAAACAACTATTAGCAAAGAAATATCTAGAAACGCAAATGTATGACCTAAAATATTATCGTTTTATCGCATTGTTTTGCACTCACTTTTATCTATTTTGCAGGAAGGACAAACCCCCAATACAGTGCGTTATTTGTACAGTGACACGCATTTTTTTTATCGACTTGGGATTTAAAGGCAATAAAATAAAAAATATAACCATTACGTGCTAAAGTATCTATTATCAAATTACAGCCTATAAAATTCAGTTTATATTTTTTAATTGTTATTTAAATGTAAAAAAAAAGTTTTTGTAATAGGTATACAAGTAAAGAAGGACTGTAGATATTTGGCAATTTATTTAAATAATCTTTGAAGTCTTTGGATGACTCATTTTTTTATACGAAAACAATTGTGATTGTAATATTCGCCTATTTTTACAGATGGCGCTTTATGGCGGTTTTAAGAACCGACATTTGAGTTTAAAGAACATATAATTACTCATTAAAAACCACAAATATAGTCACTTACATGACCAAAAGTAACAAATATTATGTGCGTAAACACCTATAGTTACCAAAAACGAGTGTAAATACTTAATTGATATTTAGTACGAAAAGAGATATTTTTTTCCAACACAAACTTTTTTGTAATAAATTCATGAATCGAACTGTACTGACATACGACTTAGCATAATATTTTCAAGTGTGAAGGACGTTCATTCGTAATTTATTACGCGTGATAAGAACATCATACGTGATAACAGATATCACTATTAAATAATACCGAAAAAGTTTATTGCTACCAAATTGGAGTTGGTTGATAGTTCACATGTTACATAAACTACTCAATCTATACTAATATTATGAAGCTGAAGAATTTTTGGTTGACCGTGCTAATCTCAGGAACTACCTACTGGTCCGATTTGAAAAATTGTTTGCCATTTATCGACGAAGGCTTTAGGGTATTTAACATCACCCTACAGTCAATAGGAGCGGTGCAGTAAAGAAAAATTTAACAAAAACGGGAATTATTATTAATCAAACTATTGTCTTTCTAGCGGCACTTTTTCACAAATACATACCAACTTATTATATTGAGTTGAAATGTCGCGTGACGTCACTTCTAAGAAAAAATCTACATAGGCGTGACGTAACGCGCCATTTCAACTCGATATAGCACTGCTATTATTTTATTATGAAAGAAAATAAAAAATACGAGTCCAATATTTTCTAATTATCTGTCTGACGGACAAATAATTATCATTTTGTCATCTATTAATGACACCACGTAATTAAAGTAGTCATAATCTCTATACTAATAGTAATAATCAAACCAAAGGATAGTGCCAGGGTCTGGACCAAGTGTTGCCCAGAATCAACCCATAGTGCATTTTGTTCCTCAGGCCTATACTAATGTGTAAACCGAAGCGCACTGAAATCTATCCCTGGAGTTAAGAGAAAAAAAGAGTTTTGTTTTGAATTATTTACATACAAAATATCATCGATGTATACGTACTACGCATTAGATTTCGCGATTGTGGCATTAAATAACACTCGCTATGTAGAACTTAACCATAATGCATCCGTACACGTTACTTTAGTGCGATTTAGACATTCTTTATAAACGATCTAGCGCTGTTTTAATTGTTTGGTAAGTTGAAAAAATTCATTATTTCCAAAATAAAGCAAGAAGTTTTAGTTTTCTATACTTGCAAAAAATCAATTTATTGGTGTATTACAATCGATTATTGAAGTTATTGTAAGCTAAAACTTCTTGCTCCATTTTGGAAATAATTAATTTTTGTCAAGTAACCAAACTACTGCAACAGCGCTTGATCGCTTATAAAGAATGTCGAAGTCGTACTAAAGTAAGGTGTACGGATGCAGTATGGTTAAGTTCAACGTAGCAAGTGTTATTTAATGCCACAATCGTTAAATCTTATGCGTAGTACGTATACATCGATGATATTTTGTATGTAAATAATTCAAAACAAAACTCTTTTTTTCTCTTAACTCCAGGGATAGACTTCAGTGCGCTTCGGTTTACAAATTAGTATTGGCCTGAGGAACAAAATGCACTATCGTTTCATTCTGGGCAGCACTTGGTCCAACTTCCATACATGGATTGGCACTGTCCTTTACATTTTAATTAACATTGATAACCAGTGCCTATCATTCACCTCTTGTAAATCATACCAAATTAAACACTATAGCATTTTCCGTGGTTGTAATAAGCTCTATATTGCAACAAACATTGATCACCTTATTTGATGTCAGTCATAATTTACTGAACTACGTATACTTCCCAAAAAACGGAATTATAATACAAAGTAACTAAGGATTTTAAAGATATTTCTTCTAGAATGTGACGTAGCACACGTGATATTTTTATCCATCGCATGAAGTAAACGTGTTGATTCGTTTTTGTTTTTATTTTTCTGATCGCGTGACGTTTGGCGAAACCGTTCCAAAACCTAAGGCTGGGTTGCACCATCTTATTTTATAGATGACTTAAACTGAACTGTCCCACAAAACTCATTGACAAGGGGACGCCACCATCGTTCAACTATTTAGTTTCCAACATGGCAAAAATCAGAACCAGCGATCCGGTATTGACGGTGGCGCCCCGCTGTCAATGTCACGGATAGGACAGTTCAGTATATTAGGTCTATAACTGTAATACACGTCAAAAATCTGTCAAACTCCATGCAAAAAGAAGCAGCTATGGTTATAGTTACGGTTAAACATAGGTGGTGCAACTCAGGTGGAAATGTGCGAACATCAGGCCTCCCCAACCCGTCTGGCCAGCGTGGGGAGTGCAGGCCAAATCCTCCATTTGCCTCTGGTAAATTAGAGGGTCGTGATTCTACAGTAGAGAAATGATCTGGTGATAATGATGAAAACTAAGGCTGGGTTGCACCATCTTACTTTAATATAACAACCGTCAAATGTCAGTCAAACTCCTACAAAAAACACTGGTTATGGTTATGTAAGTTGATTAATGTTAGTAAGATGGTGCAACCCAAGGTTAATTTTAATAATTCAGCATTATTTTACATAAACACACATTTTTAAAAACAAATGACGTCAAAGTGACGCGTCACTTTCCCGCCAAAAAATACTTCAAAAATTATTCATGCGTCATAAATCGATATCTAGCGATTGTGCTAAATGAATGTTATTCGATTTAATCAAATGATAATCGTTAGGAATCGATAAAAATTATTGTTGTGATACTGTCACATTCTTTTAGATTAGTTTTGTAAGATACTCGTATGTACTGCAAAAAAGCTACTTGAAATCGAGTGACTTAGAATTTAGAGATGCGAGTAAAAGTGCCCTGAAAAGGGCCTACATACTACGTACATAATAAACTTTGAATAATAAAGCATAGATACATAGTAAGTAAACGCAAAAGTGAGGCACTTCAAACTAGACCACTCGCTTAGTTTTCCCCATACATTTTCAGTTGACAAAGCCAAACACTAGTGAAAGATGACATTGGACGACATTATAGCTGATTCGTACTAACATCTTTCATCTTCGAATCGGTAACCCATGACATGTGTAGTACCAATAACTATCTTGACTGAGGGAGCGCGGAATATTTTTTTATGGTCGAAAGGGGGCGCGTCTCAAATAATTTAGAGAAGCCCTGATTTAGATCAAACAAACAAAGAGTTAGATCAGAGTAGAGCATTCGTGAAGACTATCGACCTAGATGTTATTAATTAATCTAAATTAAAAAAGAATTTTCATTTGAAGTCCTCTTTTGAACAGTACCTGCTAGCCATTTCCACCTTCACCCCCATCTCCTTTAGCCTCTTAGCCACGTTCTCCTCAAACGCCTTCTGTTCTCTATGGTTGCTGACCATGGTGTCGAAGTCGGACCCTCGCTTCCGCAGGATCTTCTCCAATTCCGCTTCTGACGTGTTCTCGTGGCAATGTCTGGAAATATCAAAGAGAATATTGCAGTTGATACCAATGTTACCGAATGCTCAATACCAAATGAGCGGTGGCAAGTTCTTTATTTCATTAAAGCCCGATTCAACCAAACTTTTATCCGAGAATAACTTCTGGTATAACTGGCACATTGACAGTTTCAGTATGGGAAATATGTCAAAATGTCGAATAACTGACGATTTATTCTGAGAAATATTTACTCTTGTTCGGTCGAATCCACGCTTAGGGCTTATTTTTCAACTGTCGGATATCTTTTAAGTTTTTAACTTATGAATAAAATTGACATTATGACATATTCCCCATACAGAAACTGTCTAGGCCAGTTTTATTCTTCACATAAGTTTTTTGATGATTGAAAAATCAGGCCTTTGTTTTAGTTTTGCTGGTGTTGTTTTATGTCGCTGATTAAGGACTGATTCTTCGATCGTCAGATATCTTTTAACTGAGGAATAGTATTTGTCCATGGACCTAATAGAGAAAGTAAGAGATCCACTAAGATCCAGTTTGGTAAAGTCAAAGATTACCTAATATCAAGCATAGACGGTTATTTGTCCGTTAAATGTAAATATAAACAAGATATTATTATGTTACGATTCAATAGTTATAGTCGTGTTGACACTCAGCTATGTGTCCGATGCAAAAACATTACGTAAGTTGTGTAATGGTAGCTAAATGACAAACAAGCTATTAGATTAATAGGTTAGTTGACACCGCCAATTGACGGGTGTAACTGAGAGTACATCCAGCTAAACATAGAGCTTAAGTAAGCACTTTCTCCCAGCTATGACACCATAAGCTGGGAGAAAATGCTCGCTTAAGCTCGCCTTTCTCCTTTTTAAATCTGTTTGTTACCGCGGTCACATTCTCATGCGGCCGCATAGGGTTTGATGAGTTCTGTACGGCTAGCACGAAAAAAAATCGAGTTCAAATCGTTTGCGTACTCGAATCGCCATCAAAAGATTTAGTAAGAAAACTACAACAGATGCCTTGTGAACGTGTCTTAAAGTGAACTTAGTATGAGATGTGGTTGCACGATACTTATTTTGAGAATCAAAATTGTCACTTTATCGTTTAATTCGAAGATTGAGTATCGAATACGCAAACGATTCGAAGACGAAAGTTGTTCATGCTAGAGGTACTGGGCGCACTAATTATGTGTGAATCGACCATTTTATCCTTGTGACTTGATTGACAGGCTGGCAGTCTCGACTCCGCACTTACATGTAATCAATGTTACCATTGGCCTTCTGCTTTCCACTTCTAATAACAACTTCCTATCAAGATATTATTTCTTCCTTAGTTCATTAGATCTTTCTATCTTTATCTATGACATAATCGAAGAGAATAGAAAACAATCCCTCAATATCATATGTGATATCCATACTATCGACGTATACATAAAGCAAGTGTGCGGCCATGAATGAACCGTTTTGGACAACTATTGCAAATTGCATTTTAAAGCACAGATATCCGTAACCGTAACCGAAACTTTCGGATATCCGGAATAAAAAAATATCCGTAACCGTAACCGGTATAATATTAATCCTATATCCGTAACCGTATCCATAACCAAAACTACATATCCATAACATCCCTAGGTTAGTTTTTGATTTTTGCCACTTGACCTTTTTCCGAGAAATTCCGTCCGATCGACCAGCAGATCAAGCGCCGCAAGTGGAACTGGATTGGCCACACTCTCCGAAGGGATCCCGATCACATCCCCAAGCAGGCTCTGGATTGGAACCCCCAAGGAAAACGCAAGCGTGGTCGCCCCAAGCAAACTTGGCGGCGCACTGTAGCAGACGAGGCGAAGAAGATCGGCAAGACTTGGAGCGAGATCAAACACATAGCTCAAGACCGAACGCGATGGAGGACTGTTGTGGACGCCCTTTGCCCCATCTAGGGGACATACGACCATAAGTGAAGTCACTTGACCTTTTAAAATCGTTTGACTTTGGGACGTGTATAAGCGCCCTGGAAAGGGCCTAGGTATTGATTAAATAATTTAATTTGATTTGATTTAATGTGCTGTCTGTATATTAAGTAGATGATTCAATACGTTATCTACAGGTCACATGAATGACTGGATATAATTGGTAATATTACCAGTAATGGTCCGTTCAAGACTTCATATCAGTTGGAGAGTAAACAAAATGCGCGTTAGTTTCTCTAATTATAGACTTTCCGGGACCGTATTTGCACGATCGAATATTTAGTTACATACCTAACAGTATTTTGTTCGGCTGATAAAAAGTTTAATTTGAGTAAGATAGGTACTTAGTTGACTGGTTGACACTCACTATCTTACCAAGACTACTTCATTCTATTCCTAAAAACTCGTTTTTAGGGTTCCGTAGTCCTGACAAGGAACCCTTATAGTTTCGATATGTCTGTCTGTCTGTTTGTCCGAGGTTTTGCTTGGAAACTATTGACATTAGGGAGCTGTAATTAGAAGTATGTATATTAATCACGCCGACAAAATGGTAGAATAAAAGTTTGAAAATAATTTTTTTAGGATAGCTCCCCTACATGTAAAGTGGGGATGTTTTTTTTTTCATCTTCTACCACATCGTTGGATAGCTATTTTAAAATGACTTAGGAGTTTCTAAGACTTTTTTCCATTTAAGGATCTGTTTGCAAATTATTAAAGTTTAAAGTGCCAATTTTTGTCCGAGTAGGGCATCACATCACATCCCATTTTTTTGGCTAAGTACTCCAAGTTCGAGTCAAGATCCGTCCCGCGCGTTCTAAGCTCTCATGAAAATAATATTATGGAATTTTATCACAATACTTATTCATGTCATAACTTCAAGTTGTTATGAACGTCGGCACGTTTATCACTATCGCTATTATAAGTATTATTAAAAACAATACATTACTCAGTGCGAATTTTGTAGGACAACTTATTTTTAAATTGCAGGGCAAGGTCAAGTTAGTGCGCAGAATAAAGTTATTCTAAACATTTGCGGAAAAATCATTGTTTTTAATGAGTGGCCGACTCGAGATCCGAGGAACGCGGGTTCGAATCCCACCGCCGCTCGACTATTGTGGTGAGCCCACTCGTAACACAAGCTTATTTAGCTTAACACGAGGGGCTAATGGGACTATTAGTAATTTGGGCAATACAAATTGCTACAAATCTTTGAAAAAAATGATATAAATTGTTTTAACGCCTTATTTAAACCTTTGATTGTCCCCTGTCATCCGCTTTTCACTCCTATGTTCTGATTAATTTCGTTGCGGGTCCAATGACAGTTAATTTTCCCCCGGGACAAGCTTGACCTTCACTGGTTGGGTTATTGGCGGTCAAGCTGTAGATCCTGGCTACACAGGAGTTGCAGCGGTGGGAACGGGAGGTGGGAATAGTCCCGTTATTATTGTCGCGGCAAAAACTGCGTGGGTATGCAATTTAATGCATTTTCTTTTTAAAATTTCTGATGTGAAAAAAATTAATGGCTGTCTAAAGCAAAGATTGAAGGATAGGTAACTTACTTCTCATATTCGTATCTCGTGACCTTGGAGACGATGAGGCATTTCTCCATCTGGAGACGAGGGCTGGCCTCCTGGTTGGTGCTCCCACGACGCGCTGCGGATATCAGATCCTTGTTTTGGCGAAGACCTGGAACCAATCAGATAAGTATGTATTTACTATACTAATTATAAATGGCGAGTGGATCAAAAAACCGGGCCTAGGGACAAATAGATCGAATCAGAAATGAGGAGAACCGTAAACGGATTAGCAAGCTGAAGTGGCAATGGATAGGGCACATAGTACGCAGAACTGACAGTCGATGGCACAGCAAAGGAGGGCAATGGGAAAATATAGCGTGGTACGTTTACCCACAAGGTGGACCGACGACATCGTAAAGGTCGCAGGAAGGCTACCAACCGGGCAACAATGAAAGCATTGGGGGAAGCCTATGTTCAGTAGTGGACGTCCAATGGCTCGTGGAATTGAACCCAGAACCATCGATTCGAGAGTGGTTAACACTTTAACTGTCATCACAGGAACCTATTCTGACACTTTAATAAGATCGCGAAACTCGTTTTTTTTTTCTAGAATTTTGTTATTGTTTATGTAGGGGGTATGTAAGTAGTACTAATAATACAGTCATGGTATAAATATTTAATAAATTATAGAACAATAATATAATTATAGATAAGATAAAACCTCGAAAGACATTGTTTTGCAACAACAAACGTGTTTGTTCAATGCAAAATATTTTTATTGATTAGCCAAAGTCACCTTATGGATAAACAAAAGAATCTAATTAGTTAGCAAATTACTTTTCTGTCTACCGAAAAATTGTGTCTTGATAAAATGCAAATATAAAAATAGGTTAAACTAGACCCATTTTTATCGAAGGAAGAAATTGAAAAAAATGAGGTTTTTTTTTCTTTTAATTTTTAATTACTTACTTATTGTAAAGAAAACGTTATAACTATTGAACTAAAAGGTAATATCCTGATAAAATAAAAACAGTAATGATGCTAAATAACAGATGGTTCTAATAAAATACAAAAAATACCCAGAAAACGGCAACAAGTAATAATAAATTTCTACTTTTTGAGAAAAATCTATATTTTAATTTGTTTTTTTTTTTATTATTTGATAAATTTCTCCAAATGATGCCCGGTGGTTTTTATTAATTTGTGTTATTTCTATCGTATTAAGTTTGTAAAACCAACAATTTAATGTCTCTATCCCTATCACAACGTTTGCAATGAGCGTTTTAGCGGGGGGAGTTGAAAAATCAAAAAATCATAAAATCAAAATCAAAAATATTTATTCAGTTTAGACCACAAGTGGCACTTATGAAGTTGAGTTAGTAATTTCCAATTTGTGCACAGTATATTTAAAAAATTCATTTGGCCTATATTGTTCCAATAAGGTGATACCTACAATATTTTCAGTCAGTCAATGAGACAGAAAGAGTACCTACTTCGTGACGCGGCGGTGCCAAGGTTAATGAAATCTAAAATTACATTTTACATATCTGTTATCTTAGTCACGTTTATTAAATATTTTTATATTTAATTAATTACACATTAATTGGTGAGTGTTAATCACCTTTTACAATCATGCATATTATGCAATATTGTTGTAAAACAGCAATATTTATATTTTGGTTATATGTTATGTTAATAAATTGTCAAGTGTTACTAAGCTAAAGACTTTTTCAGAATAAATTAAGGTAAAACTTCTACTTAGTTCAAACAACAAAAAAATCTAAAAACTTGTAAAAACCATTAGACTGTCTTGGAAGAAATGTTTTTATGGCGTTAAGGCCGCCTGATAATTATTATCGTGATAATTATCATTGATAATTATCGTGATAATAACAAAAAGATGCGCTCGTGAATAGAACTGTATTCGAAGTTTTCGAACGTGTATTTCCGTAGGTACTTGCGTCTAGTGGTGGGCGTTATTCAACATAGATAGTTAAAAAACCTATCTATTTAGCTCCACAACGATCACTCGTTATCTAGCGTCAAAATATTTATCTATTTTCCACAACTAGCGATGGATAACTGGACAACAATCTGGAACCAAAAATATAAAGCAACATTCGCAACTAATAACTCTAAGATACTTGAAACAATGTAACTCAGAATTTCTTGTTCTTGTTCTTCTCACAAATATATCTTATACTGTTGATAATTATCTTGATAATTTCGAACCCTGTATGGCGCCTAGAATAACGACAAAAAAATCTTAACTGGGTGAGCTAACTCTGTGTGTTATCTTTAAATATCTATAACAGCGAAAGGTCACTGACTCACTCATCACGAAATCTCAGAAACTACAAGTGCTAAGAGTATCGAATTTTGCATGGGGGTTCCTTTTAGAACGTAGGTGCTCACTAAGACGGGATTTTTCAAAATTCAACCCCTAAGGAGGTAAAACGGGGTCCACGCGTACGAAGTCGCGGGCGGCCGCTAGCATGTTATATTCGTGTCACTGTAACATCTAATTGTTAAGTAATCTATATAACAAAATAGAATAGATAATTACATAATGTAACACAAATTCTATTTCATGATAAGGGCTACCCTACTGACCTATAAAGACTTTCAATGCCTCGTAGTGGAATTTTACTCATTGATAAAAAGTTTATTGAATCAGTACAATGTACATATGTAGTATAAAACAAAGTCACTTTTCGCTGTCTGTCCCTACGTATGCTTAGATTTTTAGAACTACGCAACGGATTTTGATGCGGTTTTTTTAATAGATAGAGTGACTCAAGAGGAAGGTTTATAGGTACAAAACATGCATATTATAGAAGGGAAAAGCCGGGAAATTCCATTGCAACCGTGCGAAGCTGGGGCGGGCCGCTAGTGGAAAATAAATAAGTAGGTATTAAGAGCGTGGTAGTTTAAGGGCTACAATAATAGTTGAGGGTTCGAACCCAACTGGGGACAAAAAGTGTTTGCGGAGGAGCGTTTATGATTTGTGGCATGGACGTATTATCTAGTATATTATACCTATGTATTAAATTTTTATCTATTATCTAGTTTCTAGTTGATATAGTACAGTCAACAATATACCTACCTATCAGACTGCCTACCTAAATATTTTCGCAAAATAGTACTAATTATTTTACAACTACTTACAGCGTCGGACTGGCCATACAGTCGGGGTGGCATTTGCCAGCCGGGCCCCAGCCTGCGCGGGCCCCCACACGGCCTGGGTTGCGGGGCATGCGGCAACCGTAGCACAGGGGGCCCGCGCAGCGTGGCCCCTGTGCTACGGTTGCCCGCGTCATGTCTCGGAAACTATGCGTCGTACAAAAAAATTGTACAGTCATAATTTGTAGAAAATTGCTTTGCCTACAAATACATATGTTAATATAACTTTTTGCCTTAAATTAAAGATTAAAGAAGTTATAAGCAAAAAAAAATCCTTTTTGCTTATGTATAACATCTCTAATTTAATTTAGGACAAAAAGTTATGTAAACACAGGGCTGTCTTTAACCTACTAGGGGCCCTGGGCACTTACGGATCAAGGGGGCCCTTGTCATCTAGAAAAAGGTATTTTGAGACGGACAGACGGGGGGCCCCTCCGTCGCGGGGCCCTGAGCACGTGGCTTAAGTGCCCAGTGGGAAAGAGGGCTTTGACCATTTATGTTTCTTTCATGATGCCCTGGCCTTCATTGGTTGGATTTTTGACAGTCAAGCAGTAGATACTCACATAGAATCCTGAACTATAGAACAAAGCTACAATACCGAACGGTGAAGATGTCAGACTGGCCGAATCGGGATCCAAGGAACACTGGTTTGAACCCCGCCGCCGCTGGACTATTGTGGGGAAACCACTCGTCACACAAACATAATTTAGCTAGGCGCAACGCTCTCCACGGCATTGATGTTGAGATCAGGTCAACCTGATCTTCTGGCTGTTCCGCAACCACAATTACTTGGCCGACAATCTGCACGAGCTCAACCCTTGCTGGGGCGACGACAAGCTTTACCAGGTCATCGAGTCATTAACTGCTTAGCTGAAAGTTCTCCTGTTTTAAAAAAAATGTTGATTGGCTAGCTTTATATTATTATTTGTTATTAGTAAATACCTACTTATTATTTTACTTTATTTTAGTATTGTAATAAATTTTTTACAGTTTGTTTATCTCAATTTGTGTATCTCAGTATTTTTCGATAGTATCCCATCACCATGATCTAGTCTCGGGCCTCGGGATTGCGATCAGCCACCCGGGCCCTTCCGGCCCAGTCCGACCCTGACTACTTATACTAGTATTTAGCTTGATTCATGTGTGTTCAGTTTAGTTAGGGTTTGGTGTGATATTTAATACATACTATTTAGAATTATATTAATTTATTAAACATTATTTTAATAAATAAGTCAATAGGGAAATAATATTAACAGGAATTTCCAAATCTATGAGAGTATTTCCTTACTGACACAGATAAATGATTTATTGACCATTAACACCTAATTATAATATCGTTTAGGTGATAAAGTGATAGGTTTGTTTATAATGAGGTCAGAGTGCAAGTAAAATAACTTACTGGGAATGGGATATATACTTGCACTAGCGGCCGCCCGCGACTTCGTATGCGTCGATCCCGTTTTACCCCCTTAGGGGTGGAGTTTCGTAAAATCCTTTCTTAGCGGATGCCTACGTCATAACATCTACCTGCATGCCGAATTTCAGCCTGATCCTGAGTGGTTTGGGCTATGCGTTGATAGATCACTATGTCAGTCAGTCAGTCACCTTTGAGTTTTTCTGCATACAATGTAGGTACTAAATACTAAATGTTTTGATGATGATCATGATTCTAAATACATGTATAGTAAAATTAACCATGTTAGAAAAGGACCGCGTTATGTCTTAAACATGATATAAAACTTGAGAAAAATTTACTGACTGTTGGTGGTACTTAAACCATCTAATAGCCACGTAGTGATATCTTCCAGAAAACCCTTAGAGAGGAAGCGATGTAGTCAAATACCTTAGAAATGCCCACTGTCTACCATGTAAAAGGTCTTGAAATAAATTAATTACTAGGGAAAACAAGATATTTATCTTCCTGTTTTGATATCTATCAGCTACATGCTGCATAATTATAAGTTATTATGATAAACATTTAGAAATAGATATCTAATACATTCGATAACTCATTGAACTATCATCAGGCCATTTCGTCTCCACTGCAGGAGGCAAATGGTAGATTTGGCCTACACCCCCTATAATGGCCAGACAGTTTGTGGAAGCATGATTCAAATTCAAATTCAAATTCAAAAGAGGAGTATGATGTACAAACAAAATATGTGTTCAAGCCGTGATCAGCCTTGTCGGCATACAAATGTTAAAGATTTTAAGTATAATATTATGTTAAAAGAAAAGTAATAATGAGCAAATTATGTCAAAATCATTTTTGCATTTTGTCTAATACTTATAGGTGTTAATGTTAATGGAATTATTCGATGTCAAAAACAAAAGCAATGAGGTAATTTTTCTCAGTTTTTCCATAAATTAAAGTTGAAAAATATGAAGCTATTTCAAAGGCATGTTTAAAAACATGTCAATTTTAATTCTTCATTGTCTTCTCATAGCCTAAGGATATGACTTGGCAAAAAACAATGTTCGTGTTAACATTTGACTCTCATGACTGATCAACCGATCATGCATTGGAGTCATGATTGAAAATAATAATTGAACTTTGTTATTAGACATGCTTCTATGCTCACATAAATGGAAGAAAAAGTTCTGTTTGGTATCAAGTCTTTATTCTTATAGTTTTTAATTCCAATAGAGTGTAAGATCTTTAGGCCTACAGAGAAGAAATGTTTGAAGGAAACTAATAAATTAAGCAACAGTTACAGCAATCTCATACTTAAAACTTAATTTACAAATTGGCTTTTAAAAAGCAATTTTACATGTCCCAGTATTAACCCTACCACTGCTTCGGGACAATAAATGGGCCAGTGCTGAGAAGAAGCAGCGCAAGAAACTCAGTCACTATTAGACCAGTATTTGTAAATATTTTTATGCATTAAAGTGATCTAACCAAAGTGGTGTTTCGAGTGCTATTATTGTTAATGTATTTAAACAAATTTAATCATTTTTAAAACAAAACAAAACAGTAAGCAAATCTATATCACCATCCATAAATAAACTACAAATATGTGTGTCACATTTTGCACTAATTATACAGTAAATAAACTCTGGTTATACTCTAAAAAATAAGCGACTGAAACTACTAGAAAGATTATGAATAAATTACAGTATTATATGATCTGAACAGGTTAGTAGGTAAACACGTAGAGAGATAAGAAAAAACGCCGAATACTCACGTCTCAATCCTTTTGCCACAGTCACAGTGAAATTGTTTAAAACAGACATCCTATAAAGTTTCAAGTCCACAAGTTAGGTTATTATAACTTTTTTTTTGTTTTCACCAAACTTTTTTTGTGCTAACAGAGCGGAGATAGCAAGAAACGTACAGCCGCTGTGCGATTCTAGTTGTAACTAAAGCAGTTTTATCACCAGGGGCAATAATAGTACGTCACGGAGGCGCCGCCCGGTTGAGAATCATACAGAGGTGTGGCGATTAGATTGGATAGCCGTTCGCAGTGTTAATGAACGACGATAAGCCACGGTATTTATAGATATCGCACGCACGTCCTTTAGCTTCGGATTTATCGCGAAATAGCAACAAACAAGCAACTCTACAACAGCTGGTCGGTTGACAGTTTTGACAGTGGCAGTTCCTGTCAAGTGTCATTGTCAATGTGAAGTTTTGCGTTTCGTTCTGAAAAATTATGAAACGTTACAAAACACCTTTTATTTTCGCAAATATCGATTATATAGCCTGACCAGGAACATAAAAACCCTGGCATAGAGGCGCTTCAATTGCATTTGATAGTGCAACACTGAGTACAGTCGTACCTGTGTTAAATTAATAGGCTAACTTTATGTATCAGGATTCAGGATTACGGGCTAATTTGATATTTTCATAAATTAACGAAAAAATAGTATTATAGGTAACCTGATTTAAATAAATTAAATGAAACCATCAATCGAGCTAGTAGGATTTATTTTATTATTCATCAATAATCAAATTCAGAACTTGAATATTCAACTGCAATGTCTGCTCATGAACGCTTCAAACTCGGTACTTCTTTCCCAATTCCATAAAATTCAACACTTAGAAAGTGACAAAAAAATTTAAAATTGGTAGTTGAAACAAACTACAGCTAATTTTCATAGTGGACTGTACTATACGATAAACATGTCAGTCAATTTGACAACCTTTGTCGGAAACATTATTCAATGAAAATATTGTCCGAATCCTTAGTATTTCTCTTCGACAAATACTTTAACACATTGTGAACCACTTTTCTTTCACGACTATCAAAAGATTTTAGCAATTTAATTCACAAAATCAATTGGGCACATTTAAAATAAAGTTTGTTTACACTTTGACAGCAATAGACTGACATGCAAGGTGACATGTCAATGAAGTTTTCAGTTAGGCCTCAGCCTCGAACTTAGCGGGCAGCGGGGCGGCGGCGGCGGCGGCGCGGGAGCGGCAGGATCTTATGCGTAAAATCAAATAGACCGGTTCTCGAAAACAGCGGCGCGGCAGCGGCGCCGGAGCGGGCAACGAGCGGGCAGCGGCGAGGGAGCGGGCAACGAGCGGGCAGCGCACTCCTTCTTTTGCCCACAAGCGTAAGGAATAAATTTGAATCGAAATAAAATTGTCGCCGTTGTTCAGACATTTCGTTCGCGAATAAAAACAAATATCTCGACAACACAACCCCGAACACAACACTTCGCCGCTAAAGCGCCGCGCGAGCTGCCCGCTGGTTTCGAGAACGGGTCTGCGCTGCCCGCCCCGCTCCCGCGCCGCCGCCGCCGCCGCCCCGCTGCCCGCTAAGTTCGAGGCTGAGGCCTAACTGTTGCCATTAAAAGAAATTAGTACCATTAGTTTTCCGCAACATGGCGAGGGTTTTTATGTTCCTGGTCAGGCTATAACTTGATCGAACTAACTGCGCACCTCTGGTATGTGACTCTCTTTCCCACTTACCTTCCCGCGCTCATCCCGTGCGTAACAATGTGTTGCTCTTGCACAGGTTTTTTTTTTATATTTGTTCGTTTCAGCCGAATGACGTCCACTGCTGGACAAAGGCCTCCTCCAAGGTTTTCCACAATGAACGGTCCTGAGCTGCCCGCATGCAGGCTCTTCCCGCGACCTTTACCAGATCGTCGGTCCACCTAGTAGGAGGCCTGCCCACGCTACGTCTTCCAGCCAGTGGTCGCCACTCGAGAACTTTTCTGCCCTAACGGCCATCGCCTCTACGAGCTATGTGCCCCGCCCACTGCCACTTAATTTTAGCAATGCTGCGAGCCATGTCATTCACTTTGGTTCTCCTGCGGATTTCCTCATTTCCATCGCCCTTTGGGAGACCTTTTTTTTTGATATTATCAATCAATTTTATATTTATTTTTATTAGCTGAACCATCCTTAGAATCATTCAAACAGAATTGCTAAAATAAATGTTTATAATCATACAGGCATTAGTCAGGGAAGTTCAAACAGCAAAATAGCACAATAATGGTAAAAGAATGGGCCTATATTGGCTTTTCATTTAGAACTTTTTGTTAAGTTGGTGCTTGTAGGGCAGTTCATAAAAATAAAACACAAATTAACTGGGTACTTGTATATTAGTTTCATTATAAAATAGCTAATCAACGCTACAAGCAATAAATAACAAATTCAACAACACTATTCGCTTGACTTTCTCATTATTTACAACAACATGAGGATTCTTCAGCAAATCGTCCGACTCTCATCACAACTACGCCACAGTGTTGCGACTGAAATAACGCACACGAAAAAACACTTTTCCGTTGCGAGTTTTTTGCAATGAAAGCCAGGCATTACAAGGTAGAAAATTGACAACAGTTATACCAAAACCAAGGATGACAACTTCAAAAATATTTAAAAAATCATTTGAAAACATAATTCTGGCACATAATTTTATTGTCAGCTGATACAATAATAAACCTGGAAATAAGTAGACTGTCTTTATTCATAAAAAGGGACACCTAAATATATGGTTATTGATTTACAACTTTTTACACGTCGAAAATATAGATTTTCAATGTTATTAAATGCCTATCACTATTCAGGCAGTGTAAAGCGGATTTTAGAGTAAAACGGACACCTCATTCTATTAAATTCACACCAAAAGGAATGTATGGGGATCTGTTAAAACCAAATTCATCAAATAAAACAAAAAAATGCCGGGTCAATTGATATTTGAAAGGTATAACAATTGGCAAACCAAGATTTGCCATGTCACAAATAAAAAGAGACAAAATGTCACTTAAATTGATCTTTGTCTATGATTTAATGTCAATGGTTTGACTGATAACTTTGAAAAAACTAAACCATTCATCTTGAGCGGACATTAATTTGTTATAATTGACCAAATAAACAACAAGCAACATGGGTTATTAGTAATTATAAATAACAGAATACAACTTAATTAGAATTTTTGTTTGTTTCCACTATTTCTAATTTAATTCACACAGAATATTGCAATATAACATACACACAAAACAAACCAAAATTAAATTATTTGATAATGATCCTATGTCCAGCTATTTATTTAATTTAAAACTACATTGTAATTATTATAATATTGTCTTTGAAATTTTACACAAATCGATTGAAACCACATGCAAAAATAAGACAAAGGGAAGCATTTTAAACCTGTCAAAAATCATTTTTAATATCTGAATACTATCTAAACTATTTAAATTGTACAGATTTTACCAAAAAGTATTGTAAGAAATAACTACAATTTACTAATCTATCTCAAATTATGTTTGAGGACATAATCGGTAAAGTGCGATTTAATTTTTCATCACTGGCAACAATTTTGAATGTTTAAACTGGCAAAACTGCAATTCGCTTTTTAAATGCAACAAATTTGTCTATGAATCACCCACGAGCATCTGACTAGAAAAGCATTGAGTATAAAAGGGCGATACATTTTGCCAAATTATACTAATCCGTAGATCATTGAACGTAATGAACATGCTTTTTAGGAGCATATCAAATAGCATGCTTATAAAAGCATGCATCACCTAAAGGGATAAACTTAAGCTGTGAAGAATAAAATAAAATGGTAATAAATTAGCACTTAACTTAAGTATCCAGCCAAGTTAATATTGCATTTAACTAAATATAACTATTAGATTCAAGTAACTTAATATGGATTATAAATAAAATAAATTATACTTTCAAACGTTTCGCGATCCGTAGTGTTGTTGGTGAAGACATTTAAAATTACAAATGCCGCCACAGAGTTGCAACTGCAGACAAATGCAATCAAACGCACAACAACTTTTATGCCACATGTGAGGCGGCCCAAGAATCAAGCTTGTCAAGGAACTGGTTTAAATATTGAGATTGAATCAATCATAGACTTGAATTCAAGCAATCAAGCTTCATCACTTCACGACACGAATCAAAGTGCAGAAAAGAACGTTCGTCTTGAATTGAGGCGTCTAGTTTCAAATCCCGCTAAAACGATTTTGANTTATTATAGTAATAGTTTGCAAACAAATACACGAGAAGGAAGTAGTATTTAGTTGAGTGGTTGACACTATTATCCAACTAATATTATAAATGCGAAAGTTTGGATGTCTGGATGTTTGTTGCTCTTTCACGCAAAAACTACTGAACGGATTTTGATGTAACTTTACAGTATTATTGTTTATAACCCAGAATAACATATAGGCTATAATTTATGACGATCTGTGACAAACTGAATTTCACGCGGGTGAAGCCGCGGGCAAAAGCTAGTTATCCAATCCCAACTAATATTATAAATGCGAAAGTAACTCTGTCTGTCTGTCTGTCTGTCTGTCTGTCTGTCTGTCTGTCTGTCTGTCTGTCTGTCTGTCTGTCTGTCTGTCTGTTACGCTTTCCCGCTTAAACCTCGCAACCGATTTTGATGAAATTTGGCATAGAGATAGTTTGAGTCCCGGGAAAGAACATAGGATAGTTTTTATTCCGGTTTTTGAAACAGGGACGCGCGCGATAAAGTTTTTCTGTGACTGGCAAAATTCCACGCGGGCGTAGCCGCGGGCGGAAAGCTAGTAATTCATAAAACCTCTCTAAAACAATTCGATATTCCTAATAATTGAGTTGGCTTTCAATTTTAATTGAAATTCAAATAAATAACTTACTTACCTCCCCGAATCAACTGGTAATTTAAAAAATGAAAATTCTGTATTTAATGATGAGTTTAAGCAACCAAATACCGAACAATTATAATACGACTTTTTCTGTTCACTCATTTTCGTCAATTTCGCAAAACAAAATAATATCACAGGCGGTTGACCGGCGCGTGACTCGAGAACCACAGCGAACGTGTGGCGAACGTCTGTCGCGCTCGCGCCACGTCGCGCTCGTATTCGTCCAAGACGACAGTCTTGCTAGAGCGGTGTCTATGTGTGCGTGGCTCGAGCGCGTTTAGTATGGAGTTTGTCTTCTGTTATATTTTGTGGTTAAAGTCTAAAATCATGGTTGTAATTCAAATTCAGCTCATTTATTGCAATACTCAACGGACAAATTCAATTATTCTGGTGTTAGTTACAGTACAGTAGTTACTCTCAATGGTTACCGTTTGACTTTATCTATACTGTTATATCAGGATATTACTACTAATGACTGTATCAAAAGTTTTCTCAAAAGCGTGTTTCGCCTCAGACCGCCTAAATATGACACTACTTTGTATTAAATCATCATTTCCCTGAAAAAAAATTACAGTTAAGTGTATACCTCTTTTAATTCTGGTTTCTGCACAGATAATGAATACTCCGAGTTTATCTAATAATATTACTAACTAGCTTTCCGCCCGCGGCTTCGCCCGCGTGGAATTTTGTCTGTCACAGAAAAACTTTATCGCGCGCGTCCCTGTTTCAAAAACCGGGATAAAAACTATCCTATGTTCTTTCCCGGGACTCAAACTATCTCTATGCCAAATTTCATCAAAATCGGTTGCGAGGTTTAAGCGGGAAAGCGTAACAGACAGACAGACAGACAGTTACTTTCGCATTTATAATATTAAGTTGGGATTTTATACGATTATTGGTTAGTTTTAAATAGTTATTGCAACAATTTTAGTATTTGTATTGTATTTTAGGAGAACCCAAAAACCCATTATTAAATTAAAATACTTTATTTGATTACTTCCTAGGCATTTTGAAGACATTAGAATGATTTTAGAATGTATTTTGTATTAAATCCAATTATTTCATATTCATTATTTAATTTAATTATTTTATATTTTTATTGTATACATTTTATTTCGGCGGTAGTTTGTAAACGTATTCACATCGGTTTTTTCGGCGGTAGTTTGTAAACGTATTCACATCGGCTCCCCAGTTATAAGCGATTTTAAAATAGTTAACAGTATATTTTTAATATCTATTTCATCAAAAATTATTCATCACACGTCACCTGATAACATACACTGGAGTGAAAGCTGTTCAATGTGTGTTTAGTAAAATACGTGCACATACCTGCCGGTGACTATCTCTAACGTTCACTTCACTAAAAACTCAAATAACACTCTATCATGGACAACCTTGGTAGCATCGTGGAAACACAACAAGCACTGGAGCAGTCACTCATGAAGAGGATGACTGAATTCGAAGCACATCTCCGAGCCACAAAGGTGTCATCCCCGGCGCAATCAGAGAATCTGAAGACACTTTCTCGCGAGTTCTACACGTTCCGAGATCACACAATGGGAGTTGTAGACCTGCTAAGACGGCAAATCCAGGAGGTCAGCAGGGCCGTGGACAGCATCGAGGCGAGGCACCGGCGCAAGTTCATCCTAATCACTGGTGTACCAGATCTTGACAGTGAAAACCTGATGTCATCCACTCTTTCGGTACTGAGGGATAACCTCGAACTCCCAGACATCACTTCGGCCTCCATTACTACATGCCACAGGCTCGGGAGATCCCAGGAAGGACGTAGCAGGCCAGTTATTGTGGGGTTCGCGAGCCAAGAAACCCGATCACTCATCTGGAGAAGAAAGACAATGCTGAAAGGTACCCCATTTGTCATCTCTGAGTTTTTGACGCGGACAAGGCAGACTCTGTTCCTGAATGCGCGAAGGCACTTTGGTATGAGGCGGGTGTGGTCTATGGACGGCAGCGTTTTCATCAAGCTTCCGAATGGCGTCCGCGAACGAGTCTCCAATAGCGAGGAGCTAGACAAGCTCATGGAGCGCCACAGTCCAGTCGTCCCAGTTCCCCAGGAGCCCGTGCGGAAGCGCGCAGCCGAGCCGGCAGCGCGCGTCGCCGCTGCTGACGCTCCCATCCCGAAACCAGGAGCGTCCAAATCGCAGCGTACATGCAGATCAAAGTGATCTCCTCATAGTGCTATTGCCATACATCTACGTTGCTTTTGTTTGTCGCCGTCCATTTACTATTTTAGTTGCAGGTACCAGTAACTAATCAGCTTCACTGTCTTTAACATAGCTCACAATCTTTTACCCTCAATAAGTCACTACTCTCTTTATTTTCTAATTTAAGGTGTTTGTATTTAAAATTGTAATGTTTTGTTGTCGGTGTTTTGACAGTTAAGTGACAGCTGTTAGATGTCGCGTCAAATAGGAGGCAAAGGCGTCAATAAATATTCACTTTTAGTTATTTTTTGTGTAACGATGTAACGGTTTTTTCATTTAACGTTATTATTTTATTCAAACCGTTATTATGTGTTTCTTCTGTTTTTTATTGGTTTTGTAAACAGTCAACCGGCGGGTAATGCACTACTATTAACCGTAATCGGTACAGCTTTATGTAGTAGTCCACTCGCGTATTTTTATTTTAGTTGTATTTTTTTTTATATATTTATTATTTTTACTAGCTGTGNCACACAATGGGAGTTGTAGACCTGCTAAGACGGCAAATCCAGGAGGTCAGCAGGGCCGTGGACAGCATCGAGGCGAGGCACCGGCGCAAGTTCATCCTAATCACTGGTGTGCCAGATCTTGACAGTGAAAACCTGATGTCATCCACTCTTTCGGTACTGAGGGATAACCTCGAACTCCCAGACATCACTTCGGCCTCCATTACTACATGCCACAGGCTCGGGAGATCCCAGGAAGGACGTAGCAGGCCAGTTATTGTGGGGTTTGCGAGCCAAGAAACCCGATCACTCGTCTGGAGAAGAAAGACAATGCTGAAAGGTACCCCATTTGTCATCTCTGAGTTTTTGACGCGGACAAGGCAGACTCTGTTCCTGAATGCGCGAAGGCACTTTGGTATGAGGCGGGTGTGGTCTATGGACGGCAGCGTTTTCATCAAGCTTCCGAATGGCGTCCGCGAACGAGTCTCCAATAGCGAGGAGCTAGACAAGCTCATGGAGCGCCACAGTCCAGTTGTCCCAGTTCCCCAGGAGCCCGTGCGGAAGCGCGCGGCCGAGCCGGCAGCGCGCGTCGCCGCTGCTGACGCTCCCATCCCGAAACCAGGAGCGTCCAAATCGCAGCGTACATGCAGATCAAAGTGATTTCCTCATAGTGCTATTGCCATACATCTACGTTGCTTTTGTTTGTCGCCGTCCATTTATTATTTTAGTTGCAGGTACAAGTAACTAATCAGCTTCACTGTCTTTAACATAGCTCACAATCTTTTACCCTCAATAAGTCACTACTTTTTTTATTTTCTAATTTAAGGTGTTTGTATTTAAAATTGGACCCATTTATGCAAACAAGAACCAACCCACAGCAGGGTGGTTTCGAGAAAATGCGACTTTTGTAAAAAGAGTGCGCAAAATGCCTACATAATATATAAATGAATGATTACTTGTTAATCTTATGTGGGATACTGCAGCCTATCTAGGAATATCAGATTTATAAATTTTGTAAAGTTAAAGTTAAAGTAAATCGTTAAAAACCGGTTGGTTCTTTCTTGCAAAAACATTTTTTGTTGCTTAGTTCCTTCTTGCAAAATGGATGTAAGATTTCATTGTTGTGATATANGTTAGGTTCGTTTCAGAACCTAACCGCGCGCGAGCGCGTGCGCAGCACGCGCGAGTTTCCCTGAAAATTAGCATGGTAGTTTTCCCCCCGCGCCCCGCCGCCCCGCGCACGCGCATGGAGCGATTATCGTTTGTCTGTGGGCCTCGACTCCAATGCATTATTAGTATCTGAAGTCGTTTATAGTATTTGTTAAATGAAACAAAATGGGTTTAATCTACTGATAATAAAATCAATACAATTTTATAAAATTAATCAAGAAAAATTGTACATACAGTCTATATGAGAAAGATTTAAAACTACACTACCTTTAGTTGCTGTTGTCTGTATTATGTAAACACTGATATGGAAATCATATGTATTTTTTTTGTCATAAAAACATAATATGTGAAATGAGAGCCAAGTTCCATTTTATAACATGCCTTGGTTGTTGACTTTAACGACAAACGAAGTGAGATCAGTGATTTTTTTCCCTAAATAAACGAAAATTTATAAGGATTTATGTGAGTAAAACGAACGGTTACTTAATAATAATGTTTATTTTAGTCATTATCTTACTTTACACAACATCACAAGTCGGGCGAACGTTGCACAGAACTGCGATGTTCTTTGTGCGGTACATTCATATTCATTTAACTACTTCGCCTTAAAAACCCCAATTTTGTTAAATATAAAACGCGCTCCACATCAATTTCATATTCGAATATCCTAAATTGACCATGTAATGTTTAATAATAATCAGTATTTGTGTTATGGTCAACTACTACGTATTATCTTTGTAGACGTAGACGCATTAAAACAGTAATGACTACTTGGTATGAAATCAATTAACAGAATACAAAGTTTTAAATATGAGTAAAGAAACTTTTTACACGTAATCTCTTTAGAGGGTAATATCCATGACTCGCGAGACTCATTGCACAATAGGAGTAAACACTTCGACATGCGACACGACAAATATGTACAAGTCGCTAACAAGTATCATTATGGTGAATGAAAAATGAACAATCGACAATCGTATGTCTACTTCAACCGCCATTATACTTATCGGAAGAATCTCGAAGAGACGAAAACAAAGCCGGGATATCGTTTACATTGACTCACATACATACACGCAAATATTATTGCCAAATCCGATGATTCGCTACTCTATTGATACGTTTATTTTTGAGCTTACAATGTCATAAAACTTATCCAGTTTGGATACATTGCGTTTTAAGGTGGACGCGACGTAACTAAGTTGCATGGAATTAAGTAAATAGAAAAAATAGTCTCCTTTCAGCGGTAATTACCATAAGTCGGAGGGGAAGGAAGCAATAAACGAATCACTGTCGGCGTCAACGGTCCTATTTATACTATAGAATGCAAATAATGGATCACGCGAAGCGATCGGTTAAACCGTCACGTTACAAAACCGTAATCTCGGCCAACGACAATAATGAAAGTTTTCAGTCAAAGTCCCTATCTACTCGTATGTGGCCGTGAATCGCAGAAGCCTACAGCGCCATCTTGCGGCCCTCGATGGAGATCTCGACGGCGCGGCGCGAGCCGCTCTTCATGCGCTTCTGGTCGATGAACTTCTTCATCTGCTTCTCGTACCGCGTCATCTTCTTCTTGCTTGTCTGGAAACGAACGGCGAGAGTCAAAAGTGCGCTCAAACTATGATAACATACCGTGCATTTAAAAGGAGAAAGCATGCATGTTTAAAGTTCGGTTAAAAAAGAAATTACAGTAGCTCCAAGTAATCTATTTAGACCTAAATGACGGCATAGTGAAATGTAGATCGGAAAATGAGCTCAACACGGAACGCAACAAACATAATAAAAAAAATATTAAAAAAATCGGTAAGACGACAGAACTAATGCAGCAGCTGCAGCGAACTTAGGTTGGGTTGCACCATCTTATTTTGACTGTAACCAAACATCAAAAATCTGTCAAACTCCATACAAAAATCACCGGTTATCGTTATAGTTACGGTCAAAGTTTGGTGGTGCAACTCAGCCTTAGTTTTCATTCTTTGTAAAATGGAGCAAGAATTATTGACTATGGGAGGAGGCAATAAAATATAAAGCAGTGACGTAGTAGGCGTACCCGCGACATGTCGACCTCGCTGGTGGACTTGGGCCGCACGACGTAGTCCTTGTTGGACGGCAGCGGCACGCGCGCGCGCGCCACCCAGCCCGGCTCGCCCGGCCGCACCGACCTGCCAGACACAAAGTGTTCAATGAGGGCTATCGTTTTAGCGCTCACCAGTTAGCGCCGCTGTAGAGTAAGGTCCTGTCACTTGCTAGTCGCGAAGACAGTGGCACCAACTGGTGGGCGCGAAAGTGATAGGAGGACTATCGCATTTGCACTCATCAAGATGGCGCCACTGTAGAGTAAGGTCCTGTCAATCGCCGGGGGTGCCAACTTTTAAGTATAAAAACGATAGCCCTCATTCAAATATACTCAACATCAAATAAACCGCACCTTCCGCGACGCGAACTTTAACGATTTTCTTCTGACACAATCATGGTACTCCAACAAAATTGGTGTTATTGGAAAGCCCAATAAATATCCTTAACTAAAATTTAACTTATTATTTTAACATTTAATTTCTTAATAAATGATTAACATATACCATAAATGTGACTTGAAAAAATACCTCACTTTGGACCCACCTATGGGATCAACTAGACCAATTTTTATGGTTATAAAACCAAATAATGATTTCACGTGTCCTCTTTAACAGATGGATAGCAATTAAACCCAACTTAACAGTTTTATAGCCATAAAAGTTGGCTCTAGCGTAACTACCCATTTTTTGAAGAAGTGACTCTGGATCCTTCTAAAGACACATTTTTGGGGTAAAAACCTTTCCTTTAATGAAATGAAGGTTAGAACTAGGCTTTTAAATGGTACCAATATTGATGGGAAGTGGGGATGCATATGTTTGAAAATGCTTGTCGCGGGAGGTGCGATTTATTTGACGTCGTGTGTAGTTTATTCAGTACATACATAGATAGGCCCTTTGTAAGGCACTTATACACGTCTCAAATATAGCTTGCCCTACCACCACTTCGGGACAACATATGGGCTGGTGCTGAGAAGTGGCGAAAGAAACTCAGTCGTCGTTATTATTTCAACGTAAAGTCTCGATCACACGTACCGAGCGAACGGGCGAGACAGTGCTCTCGGCGGAGTACTCGGTGTGTATGAACATTACGCCGAGTGCTCGAGTATGTGACTCGCTCACCCAAACTGTCTCGACCGAGTAAACATTTTACTGTCTCGCCCGTTTACTCGGTACGTGTGATCAAGGCTTTATTCTGCGTTGACGTCGTGACGTTCTACAGTGGCGCCATCCTAGTGAGTTTAAATGCGATAGTCCTCCTACCGCTTGAACGCTCACCAGTTTGTGCCACTGTCACGTGCAAGCGACGGGACCTCACTCTACAACGGTGACAATTGGTGAACGCTAGATCGAATCCAGATCCAGATCAGAAAATGTGATAGGTATGGCAAGTGTAAAGTGTTCTCTGAGAGCCATCAGGCAGAAAATAAATTAGTTTTAAAAGTTTTTTATGACACCCCATTCCAATGACGTCAGTTGTGCGACTATTACCAATGCAACATTACCGGTCGGAGTCAGGATCCATGGTGCGCGCTCGCTTGGACGGCGGCGGGTCTGAGCGGCGCCGCGCGCCCGCCATGGCCTGGTCGCGCGCCTGACGCTCCTCGCGCGTCATGGCTGCAACACAATAACAATAAGAATAACTTAAAAAAAAAACCGACTTCAAATGCGTGAACACAAAAAAAAACTAAATATTAAAAAAAAGTTCTACCCTGGGGGGTGAAATATTTTCTTCAAATTCGCATGAAACCACCCTTTTGAAAATACCTATTCAACAAAAAATAATCGTTCAAATTGATTTATAACCGGCGGAGATATTGCGTATAAAAAAGTTCATCCCCAATTTTCCACCCTTGGGGGTTGTTTTTCCTATTATTAAATTTAAATGGGACCACCCTTGAGGTGCCGCCGAAAAAAGATTTGTTCAAATCGGTTCATAATTGGCGGAGTTATCGCGTAACAAACATAGAAAAAAAAACATACGGGTCGAATTGAGAACCTCCTCCTTTTTTGAAGTCGGTTGAAAACTTTATTTGACACGAAAACAAAGAAACAGAACAAAGGGACTTAAAACTATATATGCATATTTTGTGCCAAAAAGGCGCCCGCTCAGCATTAATAGAGCCACGCGTGCCACGACGCTGGTTTTCAGCGGGTGCCTCTCCAACCAACATTTTAAATTAAAAAAAAAAGAAAACATTATACAAGACATTGACAAGAGGGCGCCGCTATCTCACCGCACCAATTTTGCCATGTTGAGAAAATACACTCGATTCCGCATTATAATTATTACATTAAGAGACAGAAAAAAAAATAGGAATACAACACTGGAGTCGACTCATGACGCCAGCCCCTAGACAAAATGCACTTTTATAAATGAATCGAAAATCGAAGCTATCAAAAATACATCGCGCGTTACGGAACATACTTCGAGACTACACTTCACGAACCTGTGGACAACGCACTCGCAGAAATCGCTTAGNTCTTACTTAAACTCTCTTCCTATTTCTTCTCCAAGTTCCTTTTCATTCTCCCCTGTCACCGTCGATGAGACCAAAAAGTTCATCCTCTCTATAAAATCAACAGCTGTTGGCCCGGATGAGGTTAGTAGAGCGATGATACTCATTATCCTGGACGACTTACTTCCTGTTATCACCCATATCATCAACTCCTCATTTGATCGTGGGTGTTTCCCTTCCACTTGGCGACTCGCCCATGTCATCCCTTTACCCAAACTCTCCAACCCTACCGCATTAAACCAATTTCGTCCTATCTCCATTTTACCCTTTCTCTCTAAAGTCCTCGAAGCTGCTGCTCACAAGCAATTCTCTAAATTTGTTCTAGAAAACCATCTCCTCAGCCAATTCCAGTCTGGCTTCCGCCCGGGACACAGCACTACCACTGCACTCTTGAAAATTGTTGATGACGTCAGAGCCGGCATGGAGGAGTCACGCGTTACCGTTCTTGTATTGATCGATTTCTCTAACGCCTTCAACACGGTCGACCATGACATCCTTCTTGCCATTCTACTCCACCTCGGAGTCTCATCACCGGCCGCGGAATGGTTCTCATCCTATCTACGCGGTCGGAGACAGGCGGTGCGATTCGGTCGAGCATACTCGGAGTGGAAGGACCTTGCTACCGGCGTACCTCAAGGGGGCATACTCTCACCTATCCTTTTTTCCGTCTTCATCAACATTCTTACTTCTCACCTTTCTTCATCCTTTCATCTCTACGCTGACGACCTCCAACTCTACGTGCAGGCTGACCCTTCTCTCATCTCACCATCTTTACGCCGACGACCTTCAATTGTACCGACATTGTCACCATGATGAAATTGATCAAGCAGTACAGTACATAAATGACGATCTGGAACATATCAGAAAATGGTCGAGTCGTTACGGGGTTGCTGTAAATCCCAACAAATGCCAGGCAATAATTGTGGGTAGCCAGCGTCAACTTCGCCGCTTAAATATGGATGATGTCACCTCTGTCAATTTTGATGGGGTTGATATCCCATACTGCTCGTCCGTCAAAAATCTCGGTCTTTATCTAGATTCTAGCCTCAGCTGGACAACTCACGTATCTGAGATAAGTCGGAGGGTCATCGCCACATTGCGTTCCCTTTGCAGACTGAAATACTTCCTTCCAATTAAGACCAAAATCTCCCTTGTCCATACCCTTATTCTTCCGGTCATAGATTATGCTGATGTATGTTATCCTGACCTAAACCAAATTCATTTCAATAAGCTAGACCGGCTCCTCAACAACTGTATCCGGTTTATATTCTGCTTGCGCAAATATGACCACATCTCCTCATTCCGGTCTAAGCTTCAATGGTTACCTATACCTTTTCGACGAAAAGTCAGAATCCTTTTAACACTTTTTTCAATTTTAAACAATCCAAATTCTCCTTCTTACCTAAAATCCCAATATACGCTCCTCAGTTCAACTCACTCTCGTCAACTACGTTCCTCTAATACGCTTCTTCTTTCCACTCCTTCTCATCGTACTGGTTTTCTTTCCAACTTTTTTCTTCTACATTCCATTCGTCTTTGGAACGATCTCCCTGAAAACGTCAGGCAGGCTCCCAGCAAGTCCTTTAAATTTCATGTGCGCAAACATTTTCTCGATAGTGTTTCATCTTCATGATTTCTGTTCAACCTCCTTTTTTTCCCCTTTTTTTTCCTTCTCTTTTTTTTTCTCCCTTTGTCATCCATCTTATTATTATATTATATAATATATTATATTCATATGTTATTTATGTTTTTTTTTTTCTATATTCATAGTAATTTTATACCGCCTACTTTACTCTCAGTTTGGCCCTAAGGTTGACTGGAGGAAAATGCCGAAAGGCATTAGGTCCGCCTTATGTACACCGTTCTATGTGCATATAAGTTTTAAATAAATAAATAAATAGAAACACTTTGTTACGTACACAAAACTATCTAAACCATCTGTACCACCGCATAAACCGAATCATTAGCAATAAAGATACGGACGAACAATTTGAATTTTGCGTGTCTGAATTTAAAAAGTATAAAGATATTTTAAAAAATAATACAGATACGGTTACCGATCCTTTAATACCAACAATCAATTCAGAATGTCCGACTACCTCTGCTGCCCCACCTCTAAATATTTCTGTCACTTGTGATCGTGGAGGAGCAGTAGACTTAGGTAGGCTTAAATATGACGGTAAGTCTTGCGTACGAGCGTTCATTCAACGTCTTACTGAATTTTGCGTCGCTAGGAGTATATCTGATACTAAGGCCATGTCTTATGCCACTGAAATTTTCACCGGAGATGCACTTCATTGGTTTAGAAGTGTTAGGGATCGTGTGTCTAATTGGAGCGAGCTAATTACCCTGTTGAGACAAGATTTTGACCAGTCTGACTTTGATTATAGACTGCTGTCAGAAATTCGTAACCGAACACAAGGCGAATCGGAAAATATCACGATTTATTTATCGATCATGTCCGGATTGTTTTCGCGTCTTTCGAAAACTCTGTCGGAAGAAGATAAATTAGAAATAATCCTCCATAACATTAGACCTTGTTACGCTAGCACTTTGGCATCAGCTTATGAAATCAGGACCCTCGAATCGTTACAATCGCTTTGTCGTAACTATGAAGCTATCCAAGCACGTCTCGCTAATTTCCGCGAGCCTAGTGTTGCGACATCAAACACCNATACAACACCCACAAACATTGAAACTGTATTTTCACCATCTAATGAAAACATCTTGGATGCTCACATACTTTTTTTAAATGTCAATGAAATAAATCTACCCAAAAATCCAATTTAGCTGGCCAGGCAGAAAAATCAATAGTTATTTTGCGGTGCTTATTACTTGTGAGGGCTCTTTTCCACGGAAACATCCTGTTTTGCTGGTACTGTAGTAAAAATTCACTCGAATATCTCGTTTGCAGTGTCTCGCAAAAAATAAATCCTTTCAAATTCGGTGTTGTCATTAAACTGGACCAGTAAAAAAGAGGATCAAGTTTAATTACAAAGATTGTTTCATAGAAGTGTTCTCACTACAGCTTCCTGCATAAATTTTTTTCCAAACACCCGTACCGCAAAAAAGGGGATACTGCCGCGCGTGTGAAAACATAAATCCAGTATTGCAGGATCCCGCAAAAATGGATTACCATGGGAAAGGGCCCTGACATTGGTGTTTTGTTTTGAAGATTCTCTTATCGCCAGGACCACTTCATGTTCCCCGAGGAGTACTGCAGCAGTTCAGCGCTGTACGCGGCCATATCGTCGCACGCGCAGCGCCTCGTAATCTGCCACGAGGCGGCGCCGGCGTGGCGCTACAATGTGCTCAGGGGCGCGCCGCATTTGCTGGCATTGAGGTCAGTCTTATGTGTAACACTTAGGGCTATATTTCACCGGGACACCATGGCGGCGCAACCAGCTGCATACATTTCGTTGGTAGCCGGCGACTGGTTGCGCCGCAATGGTGTCCCGGTGAAATATAGCCCGTAAGGCTTCGGCAGACCAAACCCGGGGCAGTAGCAGCGCTGTTTGAATGCGGGCCCGCGCAAGTTGTAATACAAGAAACTCTTTGAAGTGTGTCACACCAAATTTGAACGCGGGCCCGCGCTCCAACCGCGCCGCGTCGCACTGCAACTGCCGAACGACAAACCAGGCGGCGCGGGAGCGGGACAGAAGCGGCGCGAGCGCGGGCCCGCGCTGTTGTATTACTATGGCGGCCATAGCATGACTCACCGGAGGCAGGGCGGCAGCAGTGCAGCACAGCGCGTTGAAATCGGTTTACGACGAATATTCTATTTTACAACCGCCCGCGTTGCAACTGCTTTGAAACTGCCGCTGCCTTCAGTATGCCTACTGTCGCGCTGCAACTGACCCGCACTGCTTCTGCCCCGCGTTTGGTCTGTGGAAGCCTTTAGGCTGCATACTACCTACTTCTTCCCGGAGTATTTTAGAGATTCAGCACTGTATGCGGCCATACCGTCGTACGCGTAATGCCTCGTCATCTGCGGCGCAACAATCTGCTCAGGGGCGCCTCGCATCTGAAGAAGCTATTGATAGATATATACAGGGTAGAATTTTGTAATGCCACCTGGAGGGAAAGTACCCTTAATACTGTAAATAGAAAATTTTACTCAAAGAAAACATTCCTTCATTTTTGAAAAGAAAAAGAACTGCATTCAATGATTTTCGATTTTTTTTTTAATTCACCATTATAGCATGTCATTTTCTGTAAATAATTAAAATAATTTAAGATTTCATTTTAATTTAATTTATTAAGTTTGTTAGAGAGATTTCATCTTTATACTTAAACATAACGATCGATGCAATAAAATACAGGGTGTAATTTTTAACAGATTTTAGTTGGTTCGAATCCCGGGTTTGGCAAGCAAATTTTTGGAAATCTTTGAATGCAGTTCTATTTCTTTTTAAAAATAATGGAATGTTTTCTTTTAAAATTTTCTATCTACAATATTAAGAGTACTTTCCCTTCAGGTGGCATTTAAAATTCCACCCTGTATAGATACATCACAATAACTATAGTTCTAGAGCTTAACTCAAGCAGTGCAGTATATGAGCGGCTGTTGGTTTTGTCATATTATGACGTGACAGCATACAAACTGAAGTCTCGCTGACATTTGACGTAACAAAAAACACCTTCCCGTGTCGCTCCCATACCTCAGGTACTGCCTTAGTAAAAGCGCTAGAACGCTATAATAGTATATCATTGGTTCCCAAAGTGGGGAGCGTGCCCCCAGGGGAGGCGCAAAGACCTTTAAAGGCGCGAGCCATCTGTGTACTTAAGTATAAAAAACCTGCGACCGCTGAGAGAATGCATTCGAGATTGCTCGATACGACCAGTAAATAATCTGTACTAGAGGAGGAGGGGGCGCGGAAATTTTGTATGGTCAAAAGGGGGCGCGTCTCAAATAAGTTTGGGAACCAAGGGTATAGATGAAATTACACCGGTTTTCAGCGCGCCTAATCTATATATATAAAAGAAAGTCGTGTTAGTTACTCCACTTATAACTCAAGAACGGCTGAACCGATTTAGCTGAAAATTGTCAGGGAGGTAGTTTAGAGCCAAGAGAAGGACATAGGATACTTTTTATCCCGTTCGAAATTAAAAAAAAAAGTCTGCTTATTTATTGCCATTAAGGCGGAACAAAGTTCGCCGGGTCAGCTAGTTATAAATAAATATCTATCGTCTTACGAGTCAGTCTTAATGAACCATTTGTGTTTTGTCTCCAGGCACGTGATGGACGAAGGCAACGACGACTACAAGATCATAATGCTGAACAAGCGCCATCTAGGCTTCAGGGTGATCAAACTGAACCGCGAATGCGTGCGTGGGCTCTGGGCTGGACAGCAGCAGGAGCTGGTCTACCTCAGGAACAGAAACCCGGAGAGAGGCTCCATACAGAACGCTAAGCAGGTGGNGGGCAATCGCTAGTTCAAATTTTACACGAAGCCTCATATAATATTTTGTAGCGATTCTTAATTGGATTTCAAATTGACTAAAATGCGACGTTGCCAAACGAGCGCTACGGATGCGGGTAATAAGCAATACTCAATCCTAAGTGCTTTACATAGAGCTTGGTTTGCTAGGGCAAACATCTACAGTGGTGCGCCGACGCTGCTTAGACTCGAAACATGGAACGGGGGCGGAGCAAAATCGAGCGTGTGTGTGCAAACAATTTAGGCCCTTAATAAGGTGTCAAGGCGTTCGAGTCCCCGATAGTACATGCAATCGAGTCTCCTAAGGTTCCTTATTGTCCTAGGTGTCGTGTGAACACTCACCATATCAGTCAATGTACTGAAAATAAAAACAATATTATTTTGTTTTAAATGTGGCAGACCGAATGTCAAGAAACCTCAATGTCCAGATTGTAACAAAATCGAGCCTTCAGCTTCAAAAAACTGAATGGGCTGAATTGTAGTAGTATAAAAAGTAATTTTGATAAAACTGATTGGGAAAACTGGCTTCAAACACTCAAATTATTTCAGTTCATATAAAACTGCTACAATTCGCAGCAAACCAGTTAATGATACGAGACCTTTTGTCACAGTCAATATAAATTGTTCAGGCGCGTGCCTGTGCGGTTTCTAACAGCAAAACAACGATCTCGTGAAAGTGTTTGTGTCGACACATAGGCGCGTCCATAGATTTTTATTCATGTATAATGTAGGTAGCTCTCTTGCCATCCAACTCTCACACTGTAAAAGTTGTTCATGGAAACACTTGTTAAATTTCAAATTGCGTATATTGACACATTGGACACACGTTAATTAATTGTAAAACAATTTTGGGGTGGAGGTTATAGACTCCAACGTGCAATCCGTCCGATTCTCTCCAATAGAATGAATGTCAAAAAGGAACGAATGAATAAGTATGAATGAGTGACTGATGTTTACATTGAACATATTGGGGGCCAAAGGCAAAAGTTTCTGCTTAATACATGAAATAAAAAATTTAACTCGATAACTCGCTCTAAATAAATAGTGGACTGTATTTTAAGTTTTTAATTTTTATACGGTCTAATAGTTAGAATTAAACAACCTCTAGACAGTATTGAAATAGAATTTAAAACCCAATTTTCAATGCGAAACATAGTCAATCAGTATTACAAACACTAATCTTATCGTAAAAGATTGAATAAAGTAACTAGGAAATCATTATCTTACGAAACCTTTACATACAATATCTTACTTTAACTTTAAACTAAAAACATGAACCTACTTTATCTTTAGTAAGTTAACTAAAACAATATAAACATAAACATCTACAAAGATTACACACATTGGCATGTACGATTATTTATCTTAAAGTGAAGTTTTCTTAATTACTAGTTATCTAGTTCTTTAAAAAACATATGAAATGCCCTTTATTGGCTAACAAATTGCTTAATAAACCAATATTAATCTTCATGAATAGGTAAGACACAAACTTTCATTATACTAGTTCTAATAATTGAACCTTTACAGGTTTTTATTTCTAAGGCTCTAACCTTGCCGTCTTTGCCCGGCATAACATCATGGACTCTACCAACTGGCCAATTCAGTGATGATACATTGTCGTCCTTTAACAATACCATTTTCCCAATCTTAATGTTGTTAGACTCATTTTTCCATTTAGGCCTACTCTGAAGCATAACTAGGTATTGTTTGTGCCATTGCTTCCAAAAGCACTGTTGCATTTTTACACATTGTTTCCAAAAACTTAATCTACCAATTGGTTCGTGTGTGACATTAATCTCAGGATATGTAATAAGAGGCGAACCAGTGAGAAAATGTCCAGGTGTCAAATAGGACATGTCTTCAGGATCTCTAGACATGGGTGTAATGGGCCTTGAATTCAATATGCTCTCTATTTGAACAACCACAGTATACATTTCCTCATAAGTTAAAACAGTATCACCAATGACACGCTTCATGTGGTGTTTAACACTTTTTATGCCTGCCTCCCACAGACCACCAAAAANCCAGGAAATCTTTAACGTTTTACATAAATATATTGACTTGGCCATCGCATGAAAACACGTGTAAATTAAATTATTTAGTGCGATGGCCAAGTCAATAATTTATGTAAAACGTTAAAGATTTCCTGGCCTGGACTTGGTATTACATGGATCTCACAACTTTTTACCGTAGAACAACTGAGTTGCGAGACTTGGTTTTTTTGACAAGTATTGTTTTTGATGGGATACATATTTCTTTTAAGATGTTCAATCACTATAAAGACTAAGTAATTAGACAGTCAACACCGTTATCGAAGTGAAAATACATGAATTAGTACCACCAGCTAGTGGGTTATGGTGGGTTCTCCCTGCCAGAAGGGTAGGGCCACTTAAAAACTGACTTGGCCCTCGGTAAGCCATATAAGTCGGGAACGCGGGATATCGGGTTTTGCTTCAAGCATTCGTCCGTGTTTCCTGCTCGACTTTCTGCTCGCTTAATGCACAACCCCAAACCAAGGGAGGCGTCACTGCGCCTTTAGACTCCAGTGAGCCTCTTTAGACGCCGTCGGGCCTCTAGACGGCGACGCGACGGTAAGAACTCGCCGTCTTACGTCATACGCGGACACGTCGCCGCAGCTGTGTTCCTTGCTGGGCGGGCCCGTCACCGTCACCGCCATCAAGCGTCGCGTCGTAGCCGCGTGGCGACGGTAAGACCTCTTTTTTTGTATACCCACCAGCCGCCTAGGCAGTTAGTGGGTTATTTGGGTATTTCCCTGCCAGAAAGGCAGGGCCACTTAAACTTGACGTTGCCCTCGGTAAACCATATAATAAATAAATAATAAATATCCTTGGACATTTTACACTGCGCTTCTAGTCTCAAACTAAGCAAAGCTTGTACTATGGGTACTAGACAACGGATATAAACATACTTAAACTTTTTTTTTTGTAAATACATACTTATTATACATAGAAAACACCCAGTCCAATACAAACAAATATGTTCATGCACACAAATGTTTGTACTGTGCGGGAATCGAACCCGCTACCTCCGGAATAGTAGTCCGTTTCGAACCACTACACCAAACGGCCGACTAAGACTATTTAATGGGCTTTCAAATAACATTGATATTGGTGGGGCACCATGATTGTGTCAGAGGAAAATCTTTAAAGTTATGTCGCTAGAGGTGCGGTTTATTTGACGCTGAGTGTATTTTATTTATTTATCTATTGGTCTCCTTGGGGGAGGCCTTTGTCCAGCAGTGGACGTCTTTCGGATGAAACGAACGAACGATCTATTGGTCCTCAGCATCCGGCGGCGGTGCGGCGAGGGCTGCAGCAGCGGGGGCGGCGGCGCGTGCGCGGCCGAGGCGGGCGCGGCGCGGCCGGCCGTCACGCCGCGACACAACGCGCTGCACCTGTCGCGGACCTCGCTCGGTGAGTGTAGCGTACTGTCCCCAGCACGCGGCCGAGGCGGGCGCGGCGCGGCCGGCCGTCACGCCGCGACACAACGCGCTGCACCTGTCGCGGACCTCGCTCGGTGAGTGTAGCGTACTGTCCCCAGCACGCGGCCGAGGCGGGCGCGGCGCGGCCGGCCGTCACGCCGCGACACAACGCGCTGCACCTGTCGCGGACCTCGCTCGGTGAGTGTAGCGTACTGTCCCCAGCACGCGGCGGAGGCGGATTCATATGTTTCTTGTATGTCTAAGTTAATCCTAAATTCGAGCTGTTCATGGAAACACTTGTTAAATTTCAAATTGCGTATATTGACACATTGGACACACGTTAATTAATTGTAAAACAATTTTGGGGTGGAGGTTATAGACTCCAACGTGCAATCCGTCCGATTCTCTCCAATAGAATGAATGTCAAAAAGGAACGAATGAATAAGTATGAATGAGTGACTGATGTTTGCATTGAACACGAGCCCTACAGGAGATTTGTAATTAAAAGACTGTATTGAGTTGAGCCGATGCAATGAGTGACTGATGTTTGCATTGAACATATTGGGGGCCAAAGGCAAAAGTTTCTGCTTAATACATGAAATAAAAAATTTAACTCGATAACTCGCTCTAAATAAATAGTGGACTGTATTTTAAGTTTTTAATTTTTATACGGTCTAATAGTTAGAATTAAACAACCTCTAGACAGTATTGAAATAGAATTTAAAACCCAATTTTCAATGCGAAACATAGTCAATCAGTATTACAAACACTAATCTTATCGTAAAAGATTGAATAAAGTAACTAGGAAATCATTATCTTACGAAACCTTTACATACAATATCTTACTTTATCTTGAAACTAAAAACATGAACCTACTTTATCTTTAGTAAGTTAACTAAAATAATATAAACATAAACATCTACAAAGTGAAGTTTTCTTAATTACTAGTTATCTAGTTCTTTAAAAAACATGAAATGCCCTTTATTGGCTAACAAATTGCTTAATAAACCAATATCAATCTTCATGAATAGGTAAGACACAAATTTTCATTATACTAGTTCTAATAATTGAACCTTTACAGGTTTTTATTTCTAAGGCTCTAACCTTGCCGTCTTTGCCCGGCATAACATCATGGACTCTACCAACTGGCCAATTCAGTGGTGATACATTGTCGTCCTTTAACAATACCATTGTCCCAATCTTAATGTTGTTAGACTCATTTTTCCATTTAGGCCTACTCTGAAGCATAACTAGGTATTGTTTGTGCCATTGCTTCCAAAAGCACTGTTGCATTTTTACACATTGTTTCCAAAAAACTTAATCTACCAATTGGTTCGTCTGTGACATTAATCTCAGGATATGTAATAAGAGGCGAACCAGTGAGAAAATGTCCAGGTGTCAAATAGGACATGTCTTCAGGATCTCTAGACATGGGTGTAATGGGCCTTGAATTCAATATGCTCTCTATTTGAACAACCACAGTATACATTTCCTCATAAGTTAAAACAGTATCACCAATGACACGCTTCATGTGGTGTTTAACACTTTTTATGCCTGCCTCCCACAGACCACCAAAGACTGGGGAATAAGATGGAATAAAATGAAAAGTTATTCTTTCTGAGTTTGAGTAATTCATCACAGCATTTTGGTGTTCTGTGGTGTCAAACAGTTTATACAAATCTTTCATTACATTATTAGCTCCTTTATAATTAGCAGCATTATCGCAATAAATTTTGGTAGGCTTATTTCTACGAGCAATGAATCTCTTAAGACAGGCCAAAAATGTATTTGTTGACATATCAGAAGCAAGTTCTATATGAATTGCTTTAGTTACAAAACATACAAATATAACAATATATGCTTTAGTTATAACAGGTTTGCGAATTCTACTCTGTTTTACATAAAAGGGACCACCATAATCAGTGCCCACAATTTGGAATGGACGTGTCATTTGCACTCTATCCAAAGGTAATGAACCCATCAACTGAGTTGCATTTTTTGCTTTTAATTTAAAACAAATTATACATTTATATAATACAGATTTTATCACCCTATTAGCATTAACAATCCAATAGTTTTCAGATAAACTACTTAACACTAATTTCTGTCCTGCATGCAAAAGTCTTAAATGTTCTTGTAAAATAATTAGTTTAGTAATATTTGAATCTTTAGACAAAATAATTGGATGCTTTTTAGTAAATGATAATACAGCATTTTGCAATCTGCCTCCCACTCTTAGTAAACCCTGAGCATCAACAAATGGATTCAGACTGGCAATATTTGTCTTTATTGGCATATTTGATAATAAGTTATTAATTTCTACATGAAAATATCTTTCTTGATCAATTTTTAAAATTACACACAATGCAGACTTGAGTTCTTTAGGCGTCAAAAAACCTTTCAATTTACAATCTTTGTTCTGGATCTTACAATTATGAACAAATCTCAACATGTATGCCATGATCCTTGTCATTTTATCAATATCAGAATATTTATTCAAAAATTCTACAATACAATTATCCTTTTCCTGAGCAGTACATACATTTGAGACCGTCTTTTCAGGTAAGTTATTAACATTTTTACAGACATTAATCATTTTTATTTCAGGTAAGGTATTGACATTTTCAACACATTCATCACTTTTACAATGTTTATAATTTTTGTCCTTCAAATATGATGGACCGTTCCACCACAACAAATTATTTTGTAAGGAACAAGGTTGTACACCCCTGGACAAACAATCAGCAGGGTTTTCATTTGTAGAAACATAACTCCATTGAAAATCACTTGTCAACTGCCTTATTTTCTCAACCCGGTTAGACACATAAACGCTGAGTTTCGCTGGTTCAATTCCAAGCCATGACAAGACTATTTGAGAATCTGAGTACAAAAACGTCTTGATCTCATACTTAAGTGTTAATATCGAATGCACCTTCGTAGCCAGTATAGCAAGTAGCAAAGCACTGTTGAGTTCTAAACGCGGTGTTGTTAAGCACTTATTCCTTGGATTGATGCGAGATTTTGAACACAACAGCATGATTCTAACAACATTGTCAGCGTCAATTACACGTAAGTATAAACAACAACCGTATGCCTTATTGGAGGCGTCGCAAAATCCGATAAGTTCTATAGAAACAGCATTAAGCGTATTTATATTTCGTGGCACAGAAATGCAATGCATTTTAATTAAGCTTTTAACGAATTGAACCCACTGATCATGTAATTCAGCTGGTAATACTTCATCCCACTTTAGATTTTCAAACCACAATTGCTGCATCAAAACCTTCGCTTGTGTAAAGATAGGGCCAACAAGTCCCAACGGGTCAAAGAATTTACTAATAAAACTTAACACTTGACGTTTTGTGTAAGACTCTTGTAAATTAATTTCTGGACAAGTTATTTTAAACATATCACAGAACAGATCATAGGATAAACCTAATGTTTTAATGTAGGTGTTTATTTTGTCAAAATCTTTTTCAGTTACACTGTGTAATTCACTAGGGATGTCTGATAAAATATCTATTTGATTTGAACACCACTTGTGCAATGAGAAGCCTCCTAAACCCAAAAGCTTAATTAACTCATTCTTAATTTGCTCTAACTCACTCAGTTGATTAGAGCCGCATTGTATATCATCAACATAACTTGAATGAAGCAAGGCAAAAGATGCTAAAGGATAGTCATTTTTGTAGCGCTGTGCAAGTTCGATAAGGCATCGTGTAGCTAGGAAAGAAGAACTTTTTAAGCCATAAGTGACAGTTTGCAGTTGAATGCAACGAACAGGATCATGCGGGGATTCACGCCATAAAATATTTTGTAAGCAACAAAACTTGTTTTCAATTAAAACCTGCCTATACATGCTTTTTATGTCACACAATAAAACATATTTATAAGTTCTCAGTAATATAAGTATATCAAACAAATCTTTTTGCACTGTAGGACCATTTAGCAATAAATCATTCAAACAAACTTTATTTTTAGCATTCATGCTAGCATCAAAAACTGCTCTAACCGGAGTGGTTTTGCTTTTACTTAAAACAGGATGATGGGGCAAAAAATAAACATTTCCTTTGTTCAAATCATAGTTTGAAATATCAAAATATTTTCCATGGCCATCTGCTAGGTATTTATCAAAGAAATCTTTATACTTTACAAACAATTCAGGATCCTTTGAAAATCTCTTTTCTAAATTATAAAGTCTTAGCAAGGCACTGTGCAAAGAATCACCCAAATTAATCTGATCTAAATCTTGTTTCAATGGCAAAGCAACAGAAAAACGATTGTTTTCTAATTTAACAGATTCCAAAAATATTTCTTCAGCTAATTGCTGTTCAGATGAGGATTCAGTGAATAAAACTGGTACTTTTTCACATTCCCAAAAATTTGACATTGTTTTTTCTAAGTCATTAATATTTTTACAATTATTTTCAGAATAATTATATGTTTGATCTATAGGATCAAAAGGTGTCTCAGAAGCATTATTATGGAAGCCAAATTTGTTACCTTTCATAGTGACACAAACATTAGAAGATGAGATGTTACCAGCGGAGACAGGCAGGCTGCCTGCTACCACATACCCGAACAATGTATTAACCAGGAAAGGGCCATTTGGAGTAACTGGCAGCGACTCACGCTGCAGGACCTGGAAAAATATGTCACATCCTAGTAAAACACTGATCTCACCCATCTGATTAAACTTCTTGTCAGCTAATTTGATATGTGAGGGGATGTTAAATGTTGAGATGTCAAATGATGTCTGAGGNGGTCAAATACATGTTAAGAAATACAATTAAAGTCAATTTTAAACAGAAAAATAAAATATACGCGGCTTCTCTGTCGCGTCGCCACTCCGCTTTAAATTCACTTTGAATCCGCTATAAATCCACTTTGAATCCGCTTGCAATCCGCCAGGGTGGCAAGGGCCTTAAAACTCAGAGGCACACTGATGTTCAAATACCGTAGCCAGTCCTAAAGCCGCGGTACGCGTTTGCCACGAAAAGAGTGAGCAAGACAGCAATATCTCACTCACACGTTTCATGCCTTGTTTATAACGACTAGTCTTAACGCCCAGTTAATAAAACATCGAAACATTACAGATAATATCACATATAAACAACACAATTAAAATTAAAACTAAATGCATTCTGTCGAGAACACTGAGAATATTCCCGGGAGCGTTCTCGGTTCTCGAGAATATTCTCACTGGGAATATTGCCGGGAACGAGAACTTTCTCAGCGGCACATCTCTAGTTTTATCGGAATTAATTAACTATCGAATCGAGTCGCACGACATCACTCGATTACTTTGCGATTGCAGTACGATGATACGATTATTTTTACGTTGCGGCAATCACTAAAATTCGCTAAAATGACACTAATGACGTTTAAAAGTGGCACGCTCGTCTTCATACAAATTTTTCACATGCTGCATCTATCAATATCTGCGACAATAAGCTATTCTTAAAAGTAAAATAAAAAAAAAAAGAACAAAAGGAAAATGGTTGATGATTGCCTGCCAAGCGTGGAGATTATGGCAAAACCCTCCACTATAGTGGAGGAGGCTCATAGTCCAGCAGTGGACTGTAAAGGGCTGTTGATGATGATGATTGACATCACAATTGACATTGAATGAAGAATGAGGAACTAATATAATCACATATATGGATTAGAGTAGATGCAGCAAGTTGCTCGTCAAAGCGTGCCATTCCGATATGTCCAAATGGACATACATGGTCGAGTGATGTTCATGTAATCCGATTACAACAATCGGTTACGATGATTTTACGAGGACAGTAGTACGAACACGGTAGAAAGAAGAAATTATTTACGGTTTGAGAATTGTAATTAACAGCACAAGTAACAAATAAATCAAGAAATTAGGTCAGTGATCGCAGTAGGTATAAGTCTATGTATACGACGGCACTGGATTTTGTCGTTTAGAAATATCTTCAAAACTAGATAGAGCTACGCATTTTTACATTTATTAAAAATAAAAAACTTGAGTAGGTAGTCTTCTTTATTTTATAAAACTAGGTCAGGTACTAGGATATTTAAAAGTATGAAATTAGGTAGTAGGTATGAATTACTATATAGTAGTACTATTTAACACAATGGAATAACGATTATTACTTTAATATACAATAAAAATATTATGTATTTGAAAATTAATAATATAGAATGACGTTTACCGCTACAAAAGTATTTTAATCAACCCAACAGACTAGCTATAAATTTAACAAAATATCAGTTTTATCGGAATTAATTAACTGTCGGATCGAGTCACACGATATCATTCGACGACTTTGCGAATGCAGTAAGATGATACGATTATTTTTACGTTGCGGCAATCACTAAAATTCGCTAAAATGACACTAATGACGTTAAAAAAGTAGCACGCTCGTCTTCATAAAATTTTTTTGACAAGCTGCATCTATCCATATCTGTGAATATAATAATATCGCACCNTTGAGAATCTGAGTACAAAAACGTCTTGATCTCATACTTAAGTGTTAATATCGAATGCACCTTCGTAGCCAGTATAGCAAGTAGCAAAGCACTGTTGAGTTCTAAACGCGGTGTTGTTAAGCACTTATTCCTCGGATTGATGCGAGATTTTGAACACAACAGCATGATTCTAACAACATTGTCAGCGTCAATTACACGTAAGTATAAACAACAACCGTATGCCTTATTGGAGGCGTCGCAAAATCCGATAAGTTCTATAGAAACAGCATTAAGCGTATTTATATTTCGTGGCACAGAAATGCAATGCATTTTAATTAAGCTTTTAACGAATTGAACCCACTGATCATGTAATTCAGCTGGTAATACTTCATCCCACTTTAGATTTTCAAACCACAATTGCTGCATCAAAACCTTCGCTTGTGTAAAGATAGGGCCAACAAGTCCCAACGGGTCAAAGAATTTACTAATAAAACTTAACACTTGACGTTTTGTGTAAGACTCTTGTAAATTAATTTCTGGACAAGTTATTTTAAACATATCACAGAACAGATCATAGGATAAACCTAATGTTTTAATGTAGGTGTTTATTTTGTCAAAATCTTTTTCAGTTACACTGTGTAATTCACTAGGGATGTCTGATAAAATATCTATTTGATTTGAACACCACTTGTGCAATGAGAAGCCTCCTAAACCCAAAAGCTTAATTAACTCATTCTTAATTTGCTCTAACTCACTCAGTTGATTAGAGCCGCATTGTATATCATCAACATAACTTGAATGAAGCAAGGCAAAAGATGCTAAAGGATAGTCATTTTTGTAGCGCTGTGCAAGTTCGATAAGGCATCGTGTAGCTAGGAAAGAAGAACTTTTTAAGCCATAAGTGACAGTTTGCAGTTGAATGCAACGAAAAGGATCATGCGGAGATTCACGCCATAAAATATTTTGTAAGCAACAAAACTTGTTTTCAATTAAAACCTGCCTATACATGCTTTTTATGTCACACAATAAAACATATTTATAAGTTCTCAGTAATATAAGTATATCAAACAAATCTTTTTGCACTGTAGGACCATTTAGCAATAAATCATTCAAACAAACTTTATTTTTAGCATTCATGCTAGCATCAAAAACTGCTCTAACCGGAGTGGTTTTGCTTTTACTTAAAACAGGATGATGGGGCAAAAAATAAACATTTCCTTTGTTCAAATCATAGTTTGAAATATCAAAATATTTTCCATGGCCATCTGCTAGGTATTTATCAAAGAAATCTTTATACTTTACAAACAATTCAGGATCCTTTGAAAATCTCTTTTCTAAATTATAAAGTCTTAGCAAGGCACTGTGCAAAGAATCACCCAAATTAATCTGATCTAAATCTTGTTTCAATGGCAAAGCAACAGAAAAACGATTGTTTTCTAATTTAACAGATTCCAAAAATATTTCTTCAGCTAATTGCTGTTCAGATGAGGATTCAGTGAATAAAACTGGTACTTTTTCACATTCCCAAAAATTTGACATTGTTTTTTCTAAGTCATTAATATTTTTACAATTATTTTCAGAATAATTATATGTTTGATCTATAGGATCAAAAGGTGTCTCAGAAGCATTATTATGGAAGCCAAATTTGTAACCTTTAATAGTGACACAAACATTAGAAGATGAGATGTTACCAGCGGAGACAGGCAGGCTGCCTGCTACCACATACCCGAACAATGTATTAACCAGGAAAGGGCCATTTGGAGTAACTGGCAGCGACTCACGCTGCAGGACCTGGAAAAATATGTCACATCCTAGTAAAACACTGATCTCACCCATCTGATTAAACTTCTTGTCAGCTAATTTGATATGTGAGGGGGGGGATGTTAAATGTTGAGATCTCAAATGATGTCTGAGGTAGAGAACAAGTAATGTTTTGTACCACACAGCAGGAAGATTTTACATTAAAGTCACTAATAGAGGAGTACACTGTCACCTCAGCTCTTTTTGATACACTGCTCGTGCCCTCACATACACCTGTGATAGTACGGTTGTCAGTATTGATCTGACAGTCCAATGGACTCAACAAAGCTTCTGATATAAAAGACACTTGGCTGCCGGAGTCCAGCAGTGCCCTGGCATGTATAAATTTGCCATTTTTATCAATTAACCTGATAGACACAGTGGGCAANTGTCTGAGCTACCTCTCTACAGAACAAGTAATGTTTTGTACCACACAGCAGGAAGTTTTTACATTAAAGTCACTAATAGAAGAGTACACTGTCACCTCGGCTCTTTTTGATACACTGCTCGTGCCCTCACATACACCTGTGATAGTACGGTTGTCAGTATTGATCTGACAGTCCAATTGACTCAACAAAGCTTCTGATATAAAAGACACTTGGCTGCCGGAGTCCAGCAGTGCACTGGCATGTATAAATTTACCATTTTTATCAATTAACCTGATAGACACAGTGGGCAGTAACACATCACCCACATGAGAGCCACTTGATAAGGCCACTGTGTTGCTAACAACAGTTGCACTATTTGCCACTTTAGAAACTGTATCAACATGTAATAATGTGTTATGTTGTTGGTGGCAATTTGCACATTTAATTTTTAAATTACCTTTCCCTGAGTGGGAATTTAAGCAAGATTTGCATAACTTGTTTTTTGTTACAAACTCAACCCTGTCATTTACTGAAGTTAGTTTGTAAGATGCACATTCATATCGCACCCTTTATAATATAGGGGCANGGTTGATTTGGCTGGAGCAGGCCTCTCCTCATTTGTCTCCATAGCTAATGCGCGCCTTTCTAAAAATTGTAACAATTCTGATAATGTGGGAAGAGTCTTTGCATCTCTTTCCAAATGGAAACCTCTCAATGTGTAGGAATCTACTTTTTTACTCAAAATATTAATCAATAACAAATCCCAGTGTTCAACGGGTTGCTTTAAATTTTTTAATGCCGCTAAATGCAAATTGACAAAGGCTATCAGGGACCTAATATTTTGAGATGTGCATTTATTGAATGCCTTGTATTCTAGAATACTATTTATGTGATGATTTACCATTTTTGGAATATTATCATATCTGTCTTTAATCAATTTTAATGCCTCCTGATAATTGTCACCATTTAAAGTCAGGTTTTTGACAATATCCAAAGCCTCTCCCATTAAATATGAGCGTAAGTAGTATAATTTTTCGCATGGGGTCAAACTTTGGTTACTGTCAATCACCGATGTGAACATGTTAATAAAAGGATAGTAATCCACAATGTTGGAGCCATTAAAAGGTTTAATATTTATTGGTGGAAGACGACTGTACTCACCTTTTTCTCTTTGTATACCATTATTTTGGCGGTTTAGTCTGGCGTCCAACAACTCCATGCACTCGTAATATACATCCTCAACCTTGCCGACGTCCTCGCTGTCATCGGCATTGGTATACAGGATACTTTTGTTTATTAATTCATATTCTTTAAACAGATTAATTAAACGTTCTCTTTTTATGCGGAGAGCGTCGACACTTGCGGATTCGAAAGAATCCGAAAAACAAAAGTGTTTTAGGCGTGTGATTCCTGCCTTCACGTACCCCCTTCCTAATGTCTTTTCGGCCATGGCTTGGAAATTGAACCACGACTTTATTTACTAAAATTTTATCCAAAATCCCGAAAAGACAAATTTCTAACGACAAGTTAAAATGAAACGAACGAATGAAAGACAGTTGACAGATCGATGGCTCCTACGTATACTGGCGTAAGTGAAAAAAGTAAATTTTACAGGAGAGCCATTTTAGTGGCCAGAACCATATTTTTGGGTCATAACTTCTAACCTACTGAAACGAATTTAATGAAATTTCGCATTTAGCCTTAACATGTAATGCTTTTGCTACTGCTGTTATCAATTTTTATGCATTTTTAATATATTTTGAGATTTTACACATTGGCCCTTTTACGTCGTCATATTTTTATAATTCCATGTATATTGTTCAACGTAAATAGACTTAAATGATCATTCGCCCTTTTACTAGGTTCAACGTAAATACAATATTTTAAGCGATTACTCTCTTTATTTATGCATGTAATTATTTTAATTGTTATCATGTGCTACTATCAATAATAAATCACTTAGAAAAAGTTGCTTAATGTATCGTTATTTCGTTTTAACACAAATACGCCCATATACTGTGCTCGAGATTTAGTTAAGTCTTTTAACAGGCTGAAAAACTGAACTCGGACAAACGTTATGTTACGTTTACAAAAAGGCGAATATCCTTAGTCGGAGTAAATTCATGTCGATAATTATTCAGAAGAGTGTCGGAGTAACGTAATGTCATTGTCGAAGTAACGTTAAATTGTCGGAGTTCAGTTTACTTACTTAGGTAGCCCCTATTTATTTTATAATGTGTCATAATTTATAAATAAAACAATTTGCTGAATATTTTCATGGTTTTATTTAAGATTATATAAAAAATTATTATATATTATATACGTACGTAAGCAACTATTCGTACATTTAGTGGCAATATAATAAGTTCAATGATCAATTAAAAATTTCTTCATGAATTCAAATCACAATAATTTGGAATGTAAGTAGGTGCTACAAAATGCTACAATGACTTTGTTAGTAAAAAAAATATAATTATGACAACCACAAATTTTTTGCGCAATCATAATTTGAACTATTGTGACAAAATAATGTATTGTCTAATTTAAATATATTTTTTTGACAAATATAATAAAAAAATAAAATTAAGACAACTTCTAATTTTTCTGCAAAATCAACTATAATTTGAACTAATTGTGACAATTAATAATGTTTTGTCTTATTTAAATTTTAAAAAAAAGTATGAGTAACAACATAATACTCTAATCACCATGATTGTCTTTTACTCCTATAAAAGTTTACCTTAGAGATCAAATATGTATAACAAAAAATATAATTAAGACAACTTCTAACTTTTCTGCACAATCAACAACTTACTTAATACTTTATTTTTTAAGTATTGTGGCCAATGTTTGGTCTAATTTAAAATTAAAAAAAAAACGTAAGAGTAACAACATAATACTCTAATCACATGATTGTCTTTTACTCCTATAAAAGTTTACCTTAGAGATCAAATATAACAAAAAATATAATTAAGACAACTTCTAACTTTTCTGCACAATCAACAACTTACTTAATACTTTATTTTTTAAGTATTGTGGCCAATGTTTGGTCTAATTTAAAATTAAAAAAAAAACGTAAGAGTAACAACATAATACTCTAATCACATGATTGTCTTTTACTCCTATAAAAGTTTACCTTAATAGAGATCAAATATAACAAAAAATATAATTAAGACAACTTCTGACTTTTCTGCACAATCAACAACTTACTTAATATACCTACTTTATTTTTTAAGTATTGTGACCAATGTTTGGTCTAATTTAAATTAAAAAAAAACATAACAGAAACTTAATAGTCTAATGCCCGATTTCACCAACTTCCCTTAACCCCTAATACTTGAAGGCTTCCCTTATAAGTTAAGAGATGTTGGTGAAATCGGGCATTAGAGTGTTTTTCTCGAATAAAGTTTACCTTAATCTAGAACAAATACTATGGTATGGTCAGTTTTAATACAATAAGGCGCATCAAACCTATTATGCGTAACAAATAACAAAAACTTAAATTTTGCAGAGATCAACGATAATAATAATAATTATCAATAATATCACAATCAACAACCCTGCTAGAATCGAAATATTACTACAATGTCTATGGCCACTTTGTGTTCCTTACTTATTAATTACTCTTCGTCACTGCTTAAATCTAAAATTCTGTCCGTTGATATTAGGCTAGAAAAGAAATCATGGTACCCTGCTGGAATTACTTTGGCGCTGCACATAGACATTAAGTCCTTCTTTTTTTCTTTTGTTATAGGCAATGGTCCGTTGTAACATTTCGCTAAGCTAGGCTCTGCTGAGACAGTATTAGTTCGCTTGCTGCGCGTCTTTAATATTGTTCTATTTTTTGAATCAATATCTATAGTGTATTCAGGTGCATTTACAGCCAAATCATATTTAAAACTCAGCGTATTAGGGGTGTCGTGAGAAACCTTAACTTGTTTTATTTTGGACCATTTTACTTGATCACCATTCGTTGCTTTATTCCAATTATAAACAGGTGAGCTTTGCATCTCCTTGAAATCAAATATCATTTCTTGAGTAACATCAATTACAGTGTATGCTTCTCCTGTTTGTTTTGCCCACCTAATCAACGCATTCCATTCATTTGGAGTGTAAATAATTTTATTTTTTGTAGCCTTCTCTATCGTAGCATGAACACTGTCTACTTCCGATTGAGTATGTCCCTTTTCTAAAAACGTATGTTTTATGGTTATGTTAAATTTCTTACAAGCGTATATCGTCACCGTCGTGGCAGAATTAAATAACTGACAAAACCAAAGTTGCGAGATATTCACGTTTTTGTGATTTTTTTCGTTAAAAATGGCGATAACTTTTAAGGGTAAAAATATTTTACTGTCGGTCTTTTGATATTTATACAGCAAATTTACCTTTATTAAATGAATATTCTTCGATGATGTTATTTTGTATTATTTTAAATAAAAAAAATATAAATGTAATTATTTAGTTTTGCCACAACCGTATTTTACAACTAAGTTGCAGTTATTTAGTTTTTGCATGTCACTTATTTAGTTTTGCCACAACCAAGGTATTACAAAAACGAATATTTCCATTGAATAAGTACACTTGTTTAATTTTGCCACACTTTTATTGACCTAAATGTTGATTTATTCATTTTATTTTATTTGTTTTGTTAATGCGATTTTAGTCAAAATCTGTAAAATTGTTAAATAATACTAGAATATACCTACTTATTAAATACTTATAAATGTTTAACAAATTGGTATGGTAACCATCAACANTCGAACATGGCGCATGGCGCGATGGCGTCTTGATTGTTTGCATAAATAATTGAAAATATAAATACTAAATAATTTTGCATAATCACATGTGGTAAGAGATCCCTTGTATTTTGTTTACTTTAGAGTCATAATTGGTACACTTTCGAAACACACACGATGGCATTTTTTATTTATTTTGGTAAGAACAGGAACTTACGGTGTGGTACGCACGCGATTGCGCACGACGCAGGCCACACGAAGACTAAACACAAGACGTCCCAATTGGGACGTATTTGAGTATTCACAGCGCGAGCGCTTATAACATATTATCTGCTTTTGTTTTTATATAATATCATTGCTTGGATCTCTTAAATTCAGCGTTCAGCCTGCGACCGCGGTGGTGATTAAGGCCCCGATTGCGCTAATTTGTAATTTCTCCAATTCATTCGCGTTTCATCTCCAGTCGCGCGCAACTTGCGTTTCATTTTCATTCCAGCTGATGTACGATTCGGTATCATGGTAAAGACCACGCGCTAACAAAGACGAAACAACAAAATTATGCACTTTTCATTAAAAGTGCGAACACCTTATTTTTGAAACTAAAATTACTAAAACACAGCAAATGTTCGTGAGGTGATTGACTTGCGTAGGCGTAGTTGTGTTGTGATCGGGCTTGTTATTTGACTTTTCTGTTTTTTTTTATCCACAACGAGGAAGCTCTTGGCCTGTATCTCACCTGATGGTAAGTGATGATCAGGCCGAAGGTGGAAGCGAGCTTCAACCGGAATCCTCAA